AGAGACAATTTATACTGCTAAATGATTTGATAATCATCATATTACAGCATCAGTGGGAGGCTGAGCTTACACCTGTAATCCCAGCACTTTGGGAGGCCAAGGCAGGATTGCTTGTGGCAGGGAGTTTAAATCCAGCCTGGGCAACATGGTGAGATCTCATCTTTACAAAAATTTAAAAAATAAAAATCAATAAACACATTGTCAGTGGGAGAACTATTTCAGAGTACAGACACTTGGGCTATTGTTCAAACATGCCGCAGGGATAGATATTCCTAATCCTTTACCAAGTCTGCATTCTTGTCTTCTTCCTAGCCATACCAGACTTCTCATTTTGTTTGGGGTAGACACATTAAATGATCTCTAACAACAAAAAAGTAAGAATAGAAATGCTGTATACCACTTTAAGACCTGGCCCATAAAAAGCTTCCATGCACTCTCTTCAATGTTCTTTTCCTCTTTCTGGATAAGCCAATCACAGAGACTGTAGGAGCCATGTGTTAAAGGTTGCCAAATATTCATTAGCTTCTGTCCTTTACTGACTCCGAGAAGAACGATCAACTGATCTGTACATTCACCCAAGACTGTTATGTGAATAAGAAATATATTACATGCTTTTTAAATCTGTTATACAGATTGAATATCCCTAATGCCCAAAAGCAAAATACTCTAAAGTCCAAAACCTTTTGAATGACAAAGAAGCATTTCAGATTTTCAGATTAGGTATATTCAACTGGTGATATGGTTAGGCTTTGTGTCCCCACCCAAATCTCATCATGAATTGTAATCCCCATAATCCCCATGTGTCAAGGGAGAGAACAGGTGGGAGTAATTGAATCATGGAGGCAGTTTTCTCCATGCTGTTCTTGTGATAGTGAGTTCTCACGAGATCTGATGGTTTTATAAGGGGCTCCTCCCTTTCACTCAGCACTTCTTCCTGCCACCTTGTGAATAAGGTGCCTTGATTCTCCTTTGACTTCCACCATGATTGTAAGTTTCCTGAGGCCTCCCCAGGCATGCTGAACTGTGAGTCAATTAAACGTCTTTCGTTTGTAAATTTGCCAGTCTCGGGCAGTTCCTTATAGCAGTGTGAAAATGAACTAGTACAACTGGTGAGTGTAATGTGAATATTCCAAATCCCAAAAAAATCTGAAATCCAAAACACTTCTGTTCCCAATCATTTTGAATAAGGGATATTTGAAGCCCTAATTGTTGCAAACGCAAGAGTTAACTAATACAGCACATTGTTTATGGTTAACACTATGCTGCATGTGCAGCCTGGCCAAATTCATTCTTAACAGAGAGGTAGAGAGACCACTTTTATGGAGCGATCACTCCACAAAAGAGGTGAAGAAAAAGTTAGAGAATGCACACCATCTTGTAAATCACTAGCGTCCTTTTCTTACCTGTAGATTAAAAAAAAATGCACTAGTATCAATAAAAAAAAATCTGTTGGAGTAAATAAAAGATCATCCTTCACTGAACTGATTTTTTAATCAATCTTTTGTCTAGTTTTTGGTCTCAGCCATGGTCTGTATGTGTGTGTTGTTTCAGAACCTATATGTTGAAATCCTAATCCCTGGTGTAATGATATTAGGAGGTGGGGCCTTTGGGAGATGATTAGATCATGTGGACAGAGGCCTCATGAATGAGATGAGTATCCTTTTATAAAAGACCCCACAGAGTTAGCCCCTTCCACCATCTGGAGGCACAGCTAGCAGGTGCCATATATGAACCCAGAATGTGCCGTCATCAAGCACTGAATCTGCTGACCCTGTGGTCTTAGACTTCCTAGCCTCCAGTACTATGAGAAATAAATTTCTATTGTTTATAAGCTGTCTAGTCTATGGCATTTTGTTAAAGCAGCCTGAACAAAGACAGCCTTTATTCTTCTAGTTGGATAAAGTTTCCATGAGGGTAAGACCTTTGACTTGTTTATTGTAGCAGTCCCACTTCCTAGAAGACTCCGAGAATAATAGGCATACAGTATGTGTTTGTAGAGATGTAAACTAATGTAATAATATGAGGTGGATAGAGACAAATCTATCTGGTGAGACTTTCCACCCTGAAACTTGGCCAGCAGTTTTCATTTGGCAGAGAAAAGATTTCCTCTGACACAGATATGTGATTAAACATAATACACACACACATGTCAGATAGTCAATTTATAAATTCATTTCACATTATATTTATCTAAGGTATCTAGAGACTAAAGGCAACTAACAAGTTTGTTGCATGCAGAGGTCCCTTTGCTTGCTATCCTCTTCCTTTATCAGCACGAGCTTTAACTCCCAGGCATCTTTCCAGCCCTAGCTCTGCACAAGCTTACCACCTGATGGCAGAGAGCCACACATTTACTCTCTCCTTACTATCCCAAGCATATGGCTTGATGTTAAATAGCCAATAAATGATAATTTCCAAGTGCGAGAGGGTCCAACTGCAAAGTGTTTAGTCTTAAAATTGGTCTACTGGTGCCAGCTAGATAGTCAGAATGTTTGAGAGACTGGCTGTGTACTACCTTCTTTCCTTTTCAGAGTTGTTGATTATTAATTCATTTATGTATTATGGTCCTTCACAGAAACAGAATAGGATGTGTGAATATAAAGAGATTTATTAAGATATTGGCTCACACTTTATGGAGGCTTAGCCAGCTTGATATTTAATGGAGGGATCTGGCAAGCTGTAGCCTGAGAAAACAGTTACATTTCAAGTCCAAAGGCAGGCTGCTGGTGAACAAGGGAAGCCAATATTACAGATGACGTCTGAAGAATGCCCTCTTTCTCTGGGAAGGTCCGTTTTTGTTCTCTTCAGGCTTTTAACTGATTTAGTGAGGCCCCCTCACATTATGGAGGGCAATCTGCTTTACGTAAAGTCCACCAATTTAAATGTATTGAAATTAATAGCAAAAACCGCAATTACTTTTGCATCAATGTAATAAACCTCAACAACACCCTTTACAGAAATATCCAGAATGATGCTTGACTAAACACTTGAACATTATGGCCCAGCCAAGTTAACACATAAAATCAACAATCACAGTTCACTTGCTTGCTTGCTCATTTGTTTTTGGTTGTTTTCTTCTTTGCTCTAATTCTCTTAGGTCCTTGAGGTCATTGTTATTTCCACAGGGGTTATCTAATACGAAACCTTGTTGTGACCTGGAGAGTCCCAAGCCCACATTGCAGCTTCCCCACTGGCTTAGCGTGTAACCAAGTGCTTTGCCAGTCAGCCCTCTGGTTCTGCCTCTGTGAATGGAGCTATTTTGCCTACCTAAGCTCATTATCATGAACAAATGGGATAAAAATATATTGAGAAGCTCTGCAAACACAAATTCACATGGAAACTGGTAGTTAACATTGTTTATATATCAAAGGTCCTGCCTTTCAAAACAGCAAGTGAGAAAATAGAAAATTCTGCAGGTGAAGCACATTACAGTTGAGTAACTGACTCACTGGAATAAAGAAAGATCAAATTAAGAAAGTCAGTTTATTAGTGAGGGAACAATGATTTTAAGAGTTAAGCGAAGTTTTAAATACCACGATAGGTGATTGGTAAAGATGGTGGGAACAGTATTGAATTTAAAGCACACAGAATATTCATGTCTAAAGTCAGGCTTGGTGGGGAGTTAGCACACCATTCATCCTTCCCCATGGAACTTGGTCCTGGGTGGACATTAGGTAGCGTGGGAGTGCTGTGACAGCCCTAGTCACAGGAGCTCCGATCACATGGGACTGCTCATGAGAATCTACTAAAAGGGACTAAAGATAACTTATCACTTTTCCACTTACAATGTACAGTTGACTCTTGAACAACACTAGTTGGAACTGTGTGAGTCCACTTATATGTGGATTTTTGTCAATAAATACAGTCGCCCCCTTGCATTCATAGCTTCAGCATCCACAACCAAATGCGGATCAAAGACACAGGCCAGGAAGGACCAAATTCTCTTATCTGCAGGCTCTGCAGTACCAAGTGTGGGACTTGAGTGTGCGTGGATTTTGGTATCCACGGTGGTCCTGGAACCAATGCCCCATGTAAATCAAAGGATCACCATACAGTTAATATCTCACATGTGACTCAATTCTGGACCAACATGTGATTGTTAGTCTCCACCACTCAGGGGACCTCTATGCCTCACATGCTTAACCAGACTGTTTCTTATAACTCTAAAACATGGAGGAATTCCAGAGACGGTTACAATTTGCTTGCTCAAACCTTATGTTGTGTACCAAAGCAGCCCCCTCCTGACACTTTAAAGTTTCTTTTTTTTTTTTAAGCAAAAATGGCAAAACCACCCTCAGAGGGCTAGCCTTGCCCTGCGGCCCCTCCGGGTCAATAGTCCAACATCAGTATAGTTCCCAAGATGAATGTCCATCATTCTTTGATAAGTTAATCTAGGGACAAAGGTGGGGATCTATTAAGCCTAGGCCAGGCCGTTTCTTTGCAGACTCTCCTCTCCAGAAGTTCAAAAAAAATCACGGGGTTCTATCTCACCCAAGGTCACTTGTTACAAAAGCATGTCATGGGTATGCCTGGTCATCCTGTTAACAAGCATTAGTATCTATTCCTGCTTGAAGCTTCTTGAGCCACCTGAGATGCTAATAGAGTCATTTTGCCATTGAACTGAAGATTATGTGGGTTCAGAAAACTTTGAGAGGATAGAACCAAGATCCAGCAAAGACCATACTATAATGCAATTTCCTTTTACTTTATTTATAATAAAAATATGTGGAAGATAAACATGCATGTTCTTAAAAGCAGCACTATGTTTCTGAATACATCATACCTACTGAAAATGCAAAGGTATTTACATCTACATTTTTTTTTTCTGTGAGAACTGGAACAAAGATAAGTTAATAGTGTGCTTTTTATTCCTTTTGTAATGATGGATGAATGGTTAACTTTCTTGACGCAGCTTTGCGTGGCAAACAGTTCTGTTTCAATGCAAAAAAGTCGGTTTTATGAACACTTTGCTCATATTGCTTCTCTGCCACTTTCCCTAGGAATGCCCCAGTGGTGTTGTTAATGAAGAAACCTTCAAAGAGATTTACTCGCAGTTCTTTCCACAGGGAGGTGAGTACAAATGTGGACTTGTTAACATACTATCAGAGTTACCATTATGCTTGCAGTGTTGAGCTTAGTTTAATTTTTCATAGCATAATGCTACATTTTTAATCGTTATGTAAAATAATGCACAGCATGCACGTACATATAATTTTTTATGTATCACAGAAGCCAGCGACTTAGAAATTATCAAATATCCAAAAGGCTACTCTTCAGTTTAATACAAGTATGACTGTGTGCCTAGTACCGTGGCCCTCAAATGCACAGTGCTTTCTATTACGAGGGTGCTCAAAATACCACAAAGCTCATTCACATGCATTATAGGTCTCACTTGATTCTCCCAACTCTCAAAATTGGGACAAATGTAATTATCCTCAACTTACAGATATGAAAGCTGGGGCCTGGAGAAGGTAAATGGTTTGCTCGGGGCCACATGTTGACTCAGTGGCAGATCTGGGTTATAACCTAGATTTTCTGCAGCCTCACCTAGTATATTTTCTGCTGTTCACTCTTTCTTCCAGTAACTCTTCACTGTGTTCCCTCATTCGAGAAAATTAAAAACATCCTAGATATTATTTTAATTGGAAAGAAAACACAAGGATAGTGTAATGATAATACACACGTTAGTGATGAGTGAAAAGACATTCTTGCCATTAGACCTTATAGTTTTTCTTTCAATCATCTAACAGATGCCCAACTCATATCTGTCCCACAGCCTACAATGTGCCTGGCCATGTGTGAGGTGCTAGTCATGTGGGAGGAATAAGAGGAATAGGATGTGTTATCTGCCCAAAAGAATGATATAGCCTAGTGTAGCAGATGGGCAATGTCAACCTCAAGTATAACTGTGATTATGGAAGTTAAAAAAGTCATATTCTGAGGACACAGTGCTGGCATGATTATATTAGCTTCAGGATAGAGAGGAAATACAGAGACTCTACAGATGTTGAACCTTGGCTGAAGCTGTTACCATTCAGAAAGCATCTAATATGTGCCTGTCTAATATGTACCCTGGTGTGCCTCACCATCCAACAACCCTACATATAATCCTCATTTTTTTTTAATAGATACACATGTGGAAACTAAGGTGCAGAGAGTTTCATCTATTTCCAAAGTATATAGTCTTTCACTCTCCCATTATACCTCTCAGGAGAAATTCACTTCTGAGTATGACATCTTCCAGCTTTAAAAGGCAGTAGGGACATGACATTTTAGGCAAATGGGGTGTAAGCAAAGGATCAGAGCATAGACCTGAAGGTGGGCATTTGTAGGCAACTGCCAGGATTTGGGTATGGCTAGGGTAGAGAGTGTACAATGGAGGGTGAAATGTCCTAGAGAGTCAAGGATGCCATGTGAAGAAATGGGACTTTATCCTTGAGGTGATGCAAAGCCACAGGTAAGTGGGATCTGTTACAGTCAGATTTGTGTTTGGGATACATTTCACTGATAGGTCTGTGGAAGATTAACCTGAGGTCAGCAATACTGCAGGCAGGGAGACTAATTAGACGATTACTACAGGAGGAAAAACAATAAGGTCTTTAACCAAGGACATGCTTAGGAGAAACGGAGAAGTGGGGAAAGATTACAGATATATTTAGATGACAAAAATGGCAGAATTTAGTGATGAATTAACTTTTTGTGGCATAAAGAGGTGGAGAGAGGAGTTTGTGACACCTTTCAGGATTCCACCATAGACACCAGGTGGCTCATTACAGGAAGAGTAGGGAATAATGATCTCAGTTTTGGACAAGTTACATGTGAGGTACCTGTGGGGATTTAGAATCAACGAGAAGTTGGTGAAAATCTGAGGCTCAGAGGACAAGTCAGAGAAAGAGACAGAGATTTGAGAATTATTAATCAAGAAGTAGTGGTTAAATCCCTGATGTAGATGAGATTACTGGGGGGGAATTATAAAAAGTGGTGAGCTCCATGAGGCCAGCATGAAACTCCAGAACACATGTCAAGGACCATAAGGAAAAGGCATCCACAAAGGAGACAAAGAATGAACAGTTTATGGAAATAAACACAAGAGAGAATGATAGTTCAGAAATGAAACAATCAAGTCCAGTAAGGTAAGGATCAGAAGGTCTCTTGGGATGTGGCAACATGGGAGTCATTGTTGGACATGATCGGGACAGCCCAAGTGCCCTAGGTGAAGTACCAGGGAGTGGAGCACACAAGCAGAAGTCAAATTGGAGGGGGTGAAAAGGAGGATGAGAAGGAACAGCGACAACCAATAGAGATAGCACTTACAAGAAGCTCTGCTGGAGGAGTGAAGCGATGAGGAGGAAACTGATCATAGGCCTGGGTAGATACCAGTAGAATACTTTATTTTTTAAGATAGAAAAGGTTGGACATCGTTTATATACAGAGAAGGAGCTGGTAAAGAAGGAGATATTAATAGCTTAGGACAGAAAGGAAAAAAGAGAAATAAGATTCAGATTTGGAGGAAAAAGATAGTCATGGGATGGGATGGTGGAGTCCATGAATCTGGAGTTCAGGAAGAAGGTTTTACCTCAAGTCAGGTGGGGACCATCTAGTACTTCCTTTCAACTTTGGCGGCTACTCAACGTAGGGGACAATTGGTTCTCTCTGTGATTATGGCCACAGTTGACTTTGCCATTGACCTTGCCAACGCTTTTTTTTTTTTTTTTTTAAACTACTTCCCACTTAAAGGAACCACCATCATCTCCTGCCAAAATAAACACAGTAGTCTCCAAACTGGCTTCTCTGATTCTGATGACCCCTTCCCCAACCTTAGTCTACTCTTAAAATGAGTCAGAGTGATCGATCCCATTAAAATGTAAGCACATCTTGTTACTGCTCTGCTCAAAACCATACCATTCCACAGGCATAAGCCACAACCTACAGAGTGGCCTACAAATGGTGGCCACTGTCTCTTGTCCCCTGTCTGCCTTGTCCTCCACCATTCTCCCACCCGACTCACTCCACCCGGCCACAATGGTCCCCTTGCCATCCCACCAGCACACCAGCCATGATGCTGCTTCTGTGCCTTGGAACTTGCTGTTCCCTCTGCCTGAAATTCTCTTCTCCCAAATATTCATCTCCATATCTCATCATCTCTGCATTTATACCAATGCCAACTTCTCAGTGAAGCTTGCCGCGACCACTCTACTTAAATTACAATGCCTTCAACATTCCCCATCCACTTCCCCTGCTTTATATCTCTCTTCAGCACTCAAGACAATCCAATAATATATCTTTCACTGGTACTATTGTTGTTTATTCTCTTTCTCTGTACTCAAATGTCAGCTGCAGAGAAAAGAGGATTTCTCCACTTTGCTTACTGCTGTATCCACAGGTCATGGGACAGTGGCTGACGAGTAATAGCACCTGATAGATAACTTTTTGCATGAATGAACAAATGACACCCACCTTGCATGGTGGCTATCACTGTACAATGGAATAATATCTGTAAAAGACTCTTTGAAAAGTATAAAGCACTTAAGTATTAGTTGCTTCATACAAAAGTCAGGTTTCCTTTTGGGTTTTAATCCATTTGGTTTTAGGTAGTTTAGTGATTTAAAACAATTTTGTGCCTGACTTGTCAAAACAGATTTTTGTTTTTGATGGCATTCAAAATAATTAAATTAGAATTCTAAGAAAACACAGGAAGACTTGTTTTTCAGTGAATTTGGATATACTTTGGATGACAACTCTCCCATCCCATCTCATTACCACAGTGCAGAGAGGAGGGCCCTTCTAACAGACCACAGACAGGTATTGGTATAGTGCCTGATGCCAGGATGATAATGGGTTCACTGTCTACATTAATGAAAGATTAATTTGAGGTATTAATTAACTAACTCATATTTTTCTGAATTGTTTAAAACCCATGGATTTTTTAAAGAAAAATTATATTTAATAACTGAGTGCCTAACAACATATTAATAGGCATTAATATCAAAGCACAGATGCAGATGAAAATCTTTGTTATTATTTGATCATTTCAAATAAAGTTATTACATATTAAAACTTGGATACGACTCCACATTAAAATTTTACCTTTACTTGAAAAATACCATTTCCATGTTAGACAACATCTTCTTAAAGAGAGAACATCTATTTTGCAAAGGATTCTTATTACAAAATCCAAAGGGATTAGAGATTTGAGAAAAAATTACACTCTTTAAAATTATTTGATTATTCATGTTAATTGAATGCATAAATCTGAACACGTGAGGCATCGCTGAAGGAAATGAAATATTTTAAAGAATTATGATTTGTTTTGCATTTTTAAAAATAACATAATACATATAACTTGTTTCATATATGAGGCCAGAAAAGGAAAAATGTCCTAAGGAAGAATGTGATCTCTGATGGCAAGCAAATTCATGTATGACCATCCGTACACTTCCACGGAGTCATTTATTCAGGATGATGGTCTGAATGCAACAGGTTTTCTCATTATGAACAGTAACACTGATGGGTCCATAAATCACAACATCTCACCATTTCCTCCAGGAAAGTGCTTTGTCTTATCTACAGAGCTCTCTGTAATTTGTATTGTGTCAGGCTGTTAGCTTTCTCTATTGCTTTGTGAAGCAGTTTATCAAGCACAACTTGTTTGGTGAGCTGGATGTCAGAAAAACTGGATTGAACAAAAGCCTCTTATTTGCGGGGGATAAAGTATGCCTACTATAAGGCAAGCAGAGAGAAAACTGCTTGTTGGTACTGTTGCTTATATGGTTAGGAAAAAAACTTTTAAACTCCACATACAATAGAGATTTCACATGTAAGCTTTTAGCTCACGAAACATGTTTAAAGCCCATATAGTTTCCTAGGCTATTCCTGCTCATATTGTAGGAATGCACTTATGTTGACTACACTGGGTATCTCATAAATAGCTGTTGAATGAATGAATGAATGAATGAGCTCAAGTCAGAATAATCTGTCAATAAACATTTATTAAGCAGCTGCTGTGGAAGGTACTTGAGTCAGATGAGTTCTGTAGACATCACCCACTGAGTATCCTTCTTTTCCTCGGACAATATTTCTAACAATTTTCAGGGTGATTTACAGAGGACTTATTGACAGAAGCTAGTATTCATGCACATGAACTTGCCTTACCATAGTGATGATGTCATGAATTGTATATTCAAATACATGAAGCTAATTCTATTCTTTGTGCTTGAATTGAATGGGAGTAGGGGTTTGGGATAGGAAAAAGAAATAAACCAGACTGATTTCATTCTGCAAACCTGGGGCATGATAATCAAGTATATTTGTTCAAGTACTATGAAGAATGAACTCAAGGGTTAGTTGGTATATTCATTGTGTTCTGGATATAATTGGGTTAAGAACTTCGGACTAAGATAGTTCAGAGTTTGTGGACAGACTGCCACAACCAAGGTATGTAACCCCGAGTGGTTTACTTTTCTGAGCCTCAGTTTGTTTCTCTGTAAAATGTAGGAGTCGCACCAAAAGAATCCTCGGGTTTTTTTCTACTCTAGTATCCTTTATTTCTAAGAGATTGTATAGGAATATCTTGATTTCATTAGCAACTCTACCATGAACTAACTAGGTGACCTTAGTATGTCAGTAAAAGTACCTGTTTTTACCTTTGTTCAATGTAAATACAACACTAAATAATATCCAAAATGTCTTCCCATCCTAAGACTCTGTAAATTTTGTTGCTCAACTATAAAATCTCAACATTTATTTTTCAGCTTTACAAGTAAAATTATAAGAAACCGAGGCGATCTCAGCTTAACAAACTCAGTATTTGTTATGTAAAGAAATGTAATCATGAAGACCACCAGGTTATAGAGAGAGAAGGGAGATCACTGTTATATCTTTTAAGCCCTGGACTATACTGAAATCTAGATTCCAAGTAGTCAGTTATTCACTCTTCTGACAAATATTTACTGAGTGCTTAAGAACACAGTCAAGTAAAATCAGAATCATAGATGCTTTTGGGGACAGTTTATCTTTTCATCATTTTATCCAGTTTTCTGCCTAGCTGGATATTCCTATGCCTTTGCTTCTTCCTCTCACCCAATCAAAGCAAGTAGCTTCATTCCTCTTCTTTAAAACTTTCCACTGTCTTCAATGCCTGCCAGAAGAAATCTCAACTCCATCAGAAGGCCCATTGCTTTTAGGACCTAATTCTCTTGTCTTTTATTGAGCAGAAAATTGCATAAAATTAGAACTCCAGTCACCTAAACACACAACAGAAATCCTACAAAAACAGAAAGTTATATTTAAGGTGAAAGATATTATATTTGCAAAAGATTTGATCATATGTGTTTAAGGTAATTGAAATAAAAGTGGCTTGTCTAGGAAATAATAATAGCTAATATTTATTGAAATTTTAATAAGTGCCTAGGATTACTTCTAAACACTTTGCAAATAGTGTCTCATTTAAACTTTCTAAGATCTCTATGAAGTAAATACTGATATTTTTATTATTTTGTAGATGAGGAAACTGAGCCACACAAAGGTAAAACCACTTGCCTGAGGTTGTGCACTTAATCTTTGGAGATTCAAATTCAGGCAGTCTGATTCTACTATGCTATTACTAAAAACCTCTCTGCTTTGGGAGGCCGAGGCAGGTGGATCATGAGGTCAAGAGATTGAAACCATCCTGGACAACATGGTGAAACCCCGTCTCTACTAAAAATACAAAAAAAATTAGCTGGACGTCATGGCGCACGCCTGTAGTCCCAGCTACTCAGGAGGCTGAGGCAGGAGAATTGCTTGAACCCAGGAGGTGGAGGTTGCAGTGAGCTGAGGTCGCACCGTTGCACTCCAGCCTGGTGCCTGGTGAGGGAGTGAGACTTTGTCTCAAAAAAAAACCAAAAAACAAAAAAACAAAAAAAAAACCTCTCTGCATGGATTATCTACACTGGGAAGCTGCTTTAACTTCTAAAAGAATTGCCAAGGCACATTTAGAAGAACAGGGTGTCTGTCCTCTGTATCACATTAGTGTAAACCTTGAGAGCATAATTCCCACGTGTCAAAGCTTTAAGCTAGAAAAACTCCACTTGAGAATAGAAATTATCATATACGCATGTTACCTTTTTCTTAATTAAAAAAAAATAGAAAACACCATTTGTTTTGAGTCATTCTTCATGGTGAGTACCGCTTGCTAAGGTAAAGGCATTTACTCTGATTGTAAAAACAGAGTAACTAGAGACCTGCTTAATGAAGCTCATTATAAAATATGCAAAATCTCCTTTTTTTTCCTCCTCCAAAAGTAAGTTTAACACACCATCTATCAATTCACATCTCCATAGGGTACTTTATAGTTCAAGAAGTGTGTGAAAAAGTACTGTTGAGAGCAAAACAACTTTGCAAATTGAAACAGGCTGCCAATTCTTGATAACTCTATAAGGGAGGTTCCCAAAAAACAGAACTAGGTTTATGGTCATTAAACCCCTGGCTCCATATGCAAAAGGTTTTCTTCCTGCAACCTATCAATACTGGATGGACATCCGCTCCAGATGCAACAGTTTTACATATTATTTAGACCCAATTTTGGTGTTTGATTAGTTCATTGAAAACTGTAACTCCTGTGTTTAAAAGATGAGTAATTCTTCATAGCATATTAAAAAGGGGAGAGATAAGAGAAGATGTTGCTGTCATTTTGAGAAACTGAGTGCACAGTCTGCCTCATGAAATGTGCAGCTTCAGTAGTGTTCATTACTACACTGAGACACTCAGCGCGTAAGGAGGCTGTGGACCCTGAGAGCCAGGACGGAAGTTTAGATGACCTCTGACCTCTCTTATCTGGGGAAGGCAATTCTGTACTCCAGCTACTCTGACTTAGCTTCATGACAGCCTATAAAAAGCAATTCATAAAGTAAAAAGTGAATCAATGATAAGTTAAAACCCAATAAAGGTTAAAAGTTATAAAATAGAAATAGATGAGATTTAAAACAGAAGATAAAAGGCTAGAGAGCCAATGAGCTAAAAGGTTACCTTTTTTTTTTTTTTTTTTTAACACAAAAAAGGTTAAGATAAAAGGCTAAAGCCCAGGAGATGAAACATTGAAAATAATCATGTGAATTTGATCAAGGGTCAAGCACAGAGGCCCTTAGGCACTCAGAACAAAAAACAATAAGGAAAAAATACAGACTTTTAAATGAAGTGGCAGAAAGCCCAGAGATTAAGGAGATAAAGGAGAAAGAGGAGAGGAAGGAAGGAAAAATGAGAGAGGAAGAATACCCGATGGAAGCAAACTAAGAAGACAAGCTGGACTTCTGAAGACATACCTGTCCATCATTACCCAGATCCTTGAATCCCACACAGGACCCAGACAGAGTAGGGGCTCCCTACTTCATGCAACTTCATACAACTAGGAACATTTAGGACCACCCAGTCCTCTTCCGACACAGGCATAGAAACTTCTCAAGTCACCACTGACCCCAGTCCATCAGCCAACTTTGCTGGCTCTGGGCTGACCTGGTACTGACTGTGGGTTGGGCTGGCTCTCAGAGTCAGAAAGACCTAAGTTCATGCCCCAGATTTACTCCTTACTCACTGTGTGACTTTGGGCATGTTTTTCACTCTCTCTAAGTCCCAATATCCTTATCTGAGTCATAACAATGATAATAGCTCTAATAATAATAGAAACACTAATAACAGCAACCCATCTTTGTCTCAGTAGTAGTATTTTTATTACTTCTAGAGATGGTCTCTGCCAAACACTAAGCAAATTCCAGAGAAGTCTCAATCTTCACACCCACCTATGGGACCATTTCCTGTCCCAGTGTTAATCTCATCACCCAAGAATACAGCATTGCCAGCCAGAAACCCATAGAGGATGTTTGTCACCAATGGCCTCTGTGTTGGTCGCTCATTTCTGTGACTCTCAAACTCTAGTCCTTTACAGAAAGAGGGTAAGCAGTTATGAGGAAAGCACAAACTAAAGGCGGCAGAGTTAATTCTGGATGAAAGAAAGCTTGGACTGCTATCCCAAGTCTTATGTAGGATATGGAAACACTGACTTAATGATATTCCCTTTTCACTATTTCAGACTCTACAACATATGCACATTTTCTGTTCAATGCATTTGATACGGACCACAATGGAGCTGTGAGTTTTGAGGTAAGCTCTGGCTTATTTTCATATCATTTTACTTCAGAGTTCAGTCTTTTTAGGGGAAAAAATGTGAGTTTGGTGATGCTTATTTTTGATCAGGGAAATTAAGCCCAAGGACATTCCCTTTCTCTCCTGGAATTGCTAAGAATTATCTTTCAAAAGAAGTACAAATTGCAAGCCATGTTTAGTTTATTTTCTAGTACTTTAAATTGGCTGTTACAAGGAGAGTCCATTTCTTCAAATGCATGCGAAAAATCCCAGAAGGCAAATGATTTAAGTAACTGTTACTGAAACCTTCTTATGGGCCAGTAGCTGTGGTAGGCAGTGGAAATACAAAAATAATAAAGTCAAAAGCCCCTTTGTGGAAGTCTCGGTAAGTGGAGCAAACAGACAAGAAATTCAAGAAATTAAATGTAGAAAAATACTATATTCACCAGCCTGACAATTCTACAAGGAAATCTCTTTTTAAATTACAAACTTTAAGTGATCTGTAGAGAAAATTTTTTTGTTGTTGTTTGTTTGAGAGAGAGAGAGTCTTGCTCTGTCATAAAGGCTGGTGTGCAGTGGCATAATCTTGGCTCGCAACCTCTGCCACAAGTACAAGCAATTCCCTGCCTCCTGAGCAGCTGGGATTACAGGCATATGCCACCCCACTTGGCTCAAAAGTATTTAATTTTGTTCATGAACTACTGTGTATAAGCATCTAGTAAAATAAAATATGTCCTAGATATTCACATAGCTTATATAAATATAAATATATTTATATAAGCTATTTATATAAATATATATATTTCATATGATAGGTAATTCATATATTTAAATGGTACACATCAGATCACAAATTGTAGTACATTGATTTAAATATTAAGAGATAAACAAGACATGAACTCTGCTTAGCTGTAAAGGCTTTTATTTTTGTTAGAAAAAAGGTATGAAAAAAATATACCTCATTTATTTGTTACATTCTGATTTGGTTGTGATTAGTCTCAGAAGCAGCATTATACATATTTTGCTTTGTAATTCCAGTTTCTCTTTTCCATATATACATATATATGTATTCATAGTATATATGTGTATATATATATATATACACACACACACACACACACATACACACACATATATATATATACACACACACATATGTATATATTTGGAAGATGCATTTATTTCTGAAAGTGGGGAAGGGTGCATCTTAAATATGAGCAGAAATTTTGATTAGAGTCCTGATAAATGGAAACAGAGGATGAATGGGGCAAGCAAGGAAATGGTACCTGCACAGAAGGGGCTGTAGCAGAGAAGCCGGCCCAGCGGAATTGATGGACTAAGTCTAATTGCTGGACTAAGTCTCCTTAAGAGAATGAAGGCTTGGGATGGAATGGGAAGCAACAGAGAGCAGGGCAAAGGCTGGACAGAGTGTATCAGTCCTGGGAACCAAGGGAAAACGAGTAAATCATCAGGAAGATAGAATATACAATTGGAGAGCCAAGAGGGAAGGCTGGGGAAGGAGACAGGCCAGATCCTGACATGTCTTAGGCAGGATGCTAGGGAGATTGGACTATCTTGTAGGAGGTGAGGAGTCTTTGCAGAATTTTTGGCAGGGATGTTAATTTATCAGAGCTATGTTCCTGGCAACATGGAGTGCAATTAGCAGCTGAGTATTCCAAGAGTCCAGACAGGAGCTGATGAAAGCCTGAACTGCTGTAAAGGTACTAGAGGTGAAGAATGAAAGAAATTAAAACAGAATTGGTAGAATTTATTTCAACAGAACTGTCATGTATAAAGAAAAGTTCATATGGGCACAGGCAGCTATCTGGGTGCAAGGGCTTTGTGGAGTCAAGATGAAAAAGAAGGGTGCAGCCTCCTGTGATGTCATCCAGCCAGTCGCTACAGGGGCAGGATGAACAGGGGCAGCCAAGAGCCTCCTCACACATACTCCGTGCTCATGCAGATTGGGTACCACAATTAAAAAGATTCTGGGCCCAGAAATCCCAAAGGGCCATCTCCCAAACTTAAGTGAGAAATATCACTGAGAAGATAAAAATAAAAGCTGAAAGTGGAGAAGGAATGAGCTAAGGTGAAGGAGTAGACTTAGTCAAGATGAAGCAGGCATGTTATCCTGGGTGTAGAACCAGCAGTTAGTGGAGGGAGAGGAGATGGTTGGGGGAAGAGCATCCTGGGTACCAGTCTTCATAATGTTTCTTTTGCTAATGGCAGCTTAGGTCACTCCATGATAGTAACTTTGATCATTTCATGATAATGTCATATTTGTGTTTACTTCACTTTATGTACAAATTTAATTCCAGCACAGTCTTAATTTAGCTATAATACAGAAATCAAAAGTTTGACCTAATATAGTTCACCTAATATAAACTTTTATAGTTGGATTCCAGAGGATGAGTAAGGCAAAAACTATTAGTGATTCCATTACTTGAAATTACTTACGTAGCAGTAATATACCACCAATTTCCTAGGGCATATTGTATCCAATTTTACATGTAAATTTAGTCTGGTGTTAATGATATGGAACCATGCATAACATTGCTTTTATAATATTTATGTAAAATACCAGTAATTGCAGTGAATGTTGATTATAATTTGGGAAATTAGTTGTAATGGTTATATATTACGGGCATGTTGGTAAAATGCCTTTCCTTTTAAAGGAAGACTAATGGCTAAATTAATAAAGTTTGAAAGAAAGTCAAATTTAAAACTAGGCTGTTTCAGTTACTTTTCTAAATTGATTAGCTACCTGGGAAATCTCTAGAAAACAGGCATGGTTAGGGAATGAACACATTTTGAATAGCAATTGCATACTGAGAGGTGCAGTACAGAGTGCGTCTGATTCTATGATAAAGGGTAATGGAAGTTTTCCACTTAATTTGCTTAAACCTAAAAGGCAGAATAAATATGATAGGAGGGGCCCTGAATTTGATAACGACGGATCTAATCTCCATTTTGCCACCCAGTGGCTCTGAGACCCTGGGCTGAGTACTTAATCCTCGTGACCTCATTGTTCATATCTCCAAAACATCAGCAACCAAAGCTACTTCATAAGATAGTATAAGAATGAAAAGGGGAAAATGTCAGTAAAGGGCTTGGCTCTGTGCCTGGCAGCAAATATGTGCTCAGTGTTTATTAGATATTAACTATAGCAGTTATCAGCTGGGGGATTTTTCTAACAAAGCAAATTAATGACAACATTGGTCATCTCATTACCCATTAAGGTAACTACATGCAAATGCATCATTCTAAGCCATAGCAGTCTTTGATTGGCAGGTGGGGAGTCAAGAGGACTAACGTCCCTGGCATAGTGGCCAGCACTGAGGCACTCAATAAAGGTTTGGCAGATGAACAGAGTCCACAGCTGAACAAGTCCAGGTTATTATAGTCAAATCTCTATGCCTTTTCCCTTCTTTTGCCTTGATAATAAGAGAATGGAAACCAGAATTTGGTACAGACCTTCCCACCCCTTTATCATTTTTTGTACATTAGGAAACAGATATAACCTCCTTTCATATTTACAAGTAAAGTAATTGTGCAAAGTCCTCTTTAAGAGTTGTTGTTAAGTTTGCCACTTCCTACTTGAGAAACTTCAATTACCACTCAGAAAAGCATGGAGCAAAAATCTTATAGCCACATTAAGTTTCTTATGTTTCTTTTGTACAAAATAAGATAGTGATTCCTGTTTTGAATAACTCTTTACTGATATCATCCCACAAGACAACAAGGGAGAGGTGCTTAAAGTCCACAGCTATCTTTTAATGTAAATTGTTTCAGGATATATAGTATTTAAGATGTGAATTAGATGTCAGCATGTGAATTAGGATACTTTTGTTCACAAGTATTAGAAAATGATACACTAAGTGAGAAAAAAAATATATGATAATTTCATTGGCTCACAGGAACAAAAAGCCCAGAGATAGGGCTGGCTGCAACCTAAGCATGGGACCTTTTAGGGCTGCAAGAGGCCACAGCCCCTGGGCTTCATGACTCATTGCTCCTGTTGAGCAAGGAAGGAAGCACATGTCTGTCCTACCGTTCCTAGCAAGAGCCTGAGTCTGGGGAGTCATTCTTAGACTTGGACTAGGTTTAGTCAAATGCCAACCGCAGATCCAGTTGTCTGGCCAAAGGGATAAAATGTGCTTCCTGACTTTGCCCAGGTCATGGCTCTATCACTAGACCCAGAGACAGAGAGTGAGCTCTCACAGAACATCATGGAGCACCAAATGAAAATTTGGGACCTATTAGGTAGGCCAACAAGTCCACGCTTGACTTAAAAGTGCTATCTCTAACTCTCATTGTTACTTTGCTGTTCTGTGTGGTGGTGAGGTCAACGCCAGTCATGATCGCTGTAGGCCAGAGGTTCTCAAAGTGTGATCCCTGGAAGCAGTATAGGCTTCCTCTTGGAACATGTTAAACAAGTAAATTTTGGGGCCCCAATCCAACCTAATGAATCATAATTCTTGAGGTGGGGCCCAGAAATCTGTGTGTTAGCAAGCTCTCCAGGTGATTCTGTTGCATATTATGAGAACAAATACTCTAAGAATGCTTTCAAAGACCCTGTAGGCAGCTCCCCTTCCAATTAATGACATAACTACAAATTTGCGAATTAACAAAATATATATATATATATATATATATATATGGTCTACATTGATAACCATCAACCTCATCTAGCCTTTTAAAACTGCTCAGCAATCTTCTTGAATAAGGCTCTATGTTCTGCAATAAATATTTTATACCTTCTGAAAAAGCCAAGGTTTTGTTTTTTGTTTGAGACAGAATCTTGCTCTGTTGACCAGGCTGGAGCACAGTGGTGCAATCATAGTTCACTGCAGCCTCAACCTCCTGGGCTAAAGCAATTCCCATCTAAGCCTCCCAAATAGCCGGGACAATTATGTGCACCACCATGCCCAGGTAATTTGTTGTTAATTGGATCTGGCCATGTTGTCCAGGCTGCTCTCAAACTCCTGGGCTCAAACAACCCTTCCATCTCTGCCACACAAAGTGTTGGGATTACAGGCATGAGCCGTCATGCCCACCTGCTGGTTGTGCAAGGTGTATACTCACCACCTCCAAGGCCTGTCATTACCTTTTCATTACACTGCATTATATATCATCAATAAATAATTATCTAAAATATGGCAGGGAAATAATTGGAGGAAAGTCTGCCCTTCTCTAATTTGCACATCACTTTATTGCCTAGTAGCAGAGCCTCCTCCTCTCTCCTCAAACTTCCAATTCTTACTTCTTCTACCAGGTTCTTCACTCCCAAGCAGCTGACACTTGCTAAAGCTATTAAACAAAAACACAGTCATCTTTCCACTGTAAAGCAGCTACTGGCATCCACACCATGTCCTCCTGCATCAACTTCATTCTCAGATTGGCCCATCTACCTGTGTTCTGGATCCTCCACAACTTCTCAGGAGCATCAGCCTATTTCGGACTCTTATTCTTTTTAGATTCTTCCGTTCAGTTTTCAAAGTGCTCCTCATTAAAAATCACTCTTCGCCCCTTCTACTCCACTGGACCTTTCCCTATTACTCGCTGGTGACCTCCATGTTGCTGGTCCAATGAACATTTTTCCATCCTCAGCAGCAAAATGAACAAGCCTTTCCTAGGGAAATTCTCAGTTCTCCTGACTCCCTTCTTTAGTAACTACTTTTCAAGATGCTTTGCCAGCTTCTCTTCTCTATGCCTGCCAATATTGGAATTCTTTGTGGCCTTCCCTGGAATCTTCTTTTTCTCTTACTTGACATTCTACACTGAATGCCAATGGGAAGTAGACTAAGTACGGTGATCGGTGATCCAGTTGCCACAGCACCATATGTTGAGACTGTCCTTGCCATAGTTATTGAATGGTCTTGGCACCATCATTGAAGAATCAACTGGCCACAGACAGCTGGGTTTATATCTAGACTCAATTCTTTTCCACTGTTCTATACATCTGTCTTTATGCCAGTACCACACAGTTTTGATTACTGTAACTTTGTACTAAGTTTTGAAATTGGGTAGTGTGAGTCCTCCAAGTTTGTTTTTCTTTCTTAAAATTGATTGGGCTGCATTATTCAGGGCCCCTGGCAATATGAATTTAAAAATTATTTTTATTTTTGTCTTTTTCATATCTGCCAAAAGAGGCCAATGGCCATTCTTGATAAATTTGCTTAAGTGGAATGGTTGTATATTTCTTTAGCATGATAAAAGTATTATGCTTAAAAGAGAATAGAAATATTCTCAAGTTCAAGAAAAAACTGAGAATATTACCATTTTCATTAGGTAACACTGTCCTAAAGATATTAGGCTACACAATTAGAAAAAAGCAAACATTTAAAAATTAGAAAAGAGAGGTAAAATAACTCTATTGCAGCTAATATTATTGCACACATGAAAAACCCAGGAGAAAACCAATTTAAGTTGTCAGCAGATTGGCAGGGTACAAAATTGTCATACAGAAATCAACACAGCTTTCATACATACAAACAACTAATTTAGAATATATGATACAAAAAAAATCACATTCACAACAGCAACAGAAAGGTTAAAATATCTAGAATAAGAATGAGAAAAAATATAAAAGAACAATTTGGTTAAATAAACTATGATACATTTACATATACAATGGAAACTCGAAATGTTTCCGATTTATGGTTAAGTGGGAAAAAACATATAGAAATGTTAGTAAAACAAACAAATGTATCTTTTATTTGTATATGCACAGAAATTCCTTGGAAGTAAATATGACCTATTTATGCCAGTTGTCTACGGGGAAAAGGGACAGGTGGCTGGGTCCAGGGAGGGAATAAAAGTTTTTCACCAGACAGCTTTATAATTTTTAAATGTTGGACTACATGGATGTTACTTATTACAAAAAAAAAAACAACTTGAGAAATTGAAATAGAAATACAGCTATAGAATGAGGGAATGTGGAAAAGGGGAGATATAATGCAAATTCACCCAGAAGACTTTTGGATTTTCCCTCTGCTTTCATTCCTACCTAAAATTGGATTATAAACTGAATACAGCACATTGTAATGTTAACCCTGCTGTACATAACAACGAATATGAGCAGGTGCAGTGGCTCACACCTGTAATCCCAGCACTCTGGGAGGCTGAGGCGGGCGGATCACAAGGTCAGGAGTTCAAGACCATCCTGGCCAACATGGTGAAACCCCATCTCTACTAAATACACAAAAATTACTGGATGTGGTTGCAAGCACCTGTAGTCCCAGCTACTCAGGAGGCTAAGGCAGAAGAGTAGCTTGAACCTGGGAGGCAGAGGTTGCAGTATGCCGAGATCGTGCCACTGCACTCCAGCCTGGGCAACAGAGACTCTGTCTCAAAAAACAACAAAAACAAAACAACAATAACAAATCTAAATGAATTAAGTTAATCTGGCCAGTCTGGAATGCAATCAAACCAGCTTAGCCAGGATACAAAGGGAGGGTTCCATTCACTAAGAAAAACTTACATAGCCAGTGTCCTTGCCAGTGTCCTGCTTATTGTTATAAGCAGCCTTTTTTTTTTTTAAGGCTTGAATTTGTTATTATACTTTAAATTCTGAGATAAATGTGTAAAACATGCAGGTTTGTTACATAGGTATACACATGCCATGGTGGTTTGCTGCACCCCTCAACCTGTGAGCTACATTAGGTATTTCTCCTAATGCTATCCTTCCCCATGTCCATGTGTTCTCACTCTTCAACTCCCATTTATGAGTGAGAACATGCAGCATTTGGTTTTCTGTTCTTGTGTTAGTTTCCTGAGAATGATGGTTTCCAGATTCATCCACGTCCCTGCAAAGGATATAAACTCATCCTTTTTATGGCTATATAGTATTCCATGGTGTTTATGTGCCACGTTTTCTTTATCCAGTCTATCATTGGTGGGCATTTGGGTTGGTTCCAAGTCTTAGCTGTTGTAAACAGTGCCACAATAAACATATGTGTCCTTGTGTATTTATAGTAGAATGATTTATAATCCTTTGGGTATATATCCAGTAATGGGATTGCTGGGTCAAATGGTATTTCTAATTCTAGATCCTTGAGGAATCACCACTCTCTTCCACAATGGCTGAACTAATTTACACTCCCACCAACAGTGTAAAAGTGTTCCTATTTCTCCACATCCTCTCCAGCATCTGTTTTTTCCTGACTTTTTAATGATCACCATTCTAACTGATGTGAGATGGTATCTCATTGTGGTTTTGATATGCATTTTTCTGATGATCAGTGATGAGCTTTTTTTCATGTTTGTTGGCTGCACAGATGTCTTCTTTTGAGAAATGTCTGTTCATATCCTTCGCCCACTTTTTGATGGTTTTCTTGTAAATTTGTTTAAGTTCTTTGTAGATTCCGGATATTAGCCCTTTCTCAGATGGATTGCAAAAATTTTCTCCCATTCTGTAGGTTGCCTGTTCACTCTGATGATTGTTTTGCTGTGCATAAGCTCTTTAGTTAGATCCCATTTGTCAATTTCAAGCAGCTTCTTTTTAAATCCTCAGAAAATTGTGAAGAGGTAGATACTAACAATAGGTCCATTTTACAGATATAAGAATTGAGGCAAAGGGATGTTAAGTTGCCTGAAGACACAAGGCCATCCAGTGGCATAGCTGGAGAATGAATCCAGGCAATGTGTCCTCTCCAGCTCCATGCTCTTACTCACTGTCCCCATGTAAATTATAACTGGATTTCTAATTAAGGACCACAATTGTTGTATCTTTTATGGACAGCCACATTTCTTGTTAGCAAATTTTTTTCACTGAAGTGTGTTATGTGTGTACTTGTATTTTTTTTAAGACTGTACTATTAGATTCTTTTAGTAAATCATGTGCACTTGCAGTGAAAAGCCAATACCACTTATACTTAAGTTTCTTGCTGTGTGGGGATCCACTGTTACAATTTCCAGTACTACCATTGATTTAACTCAGTTTCCAATTAGAAGATAAAAACGTTAAGACTAAGGAGTGATTTATGCCCACAAAGAACTCTGAAAAATAGACAACCAGTAACACATCAATCATTTTGCTAAATAAGTGGTTCAAAATCCAGAGGGTTGTAGCCCTTGCTTCCATCATTTCTTTGCCTTTTCTTTTAGAAATGTCATGTGAAATTGTATTTTTATTTCTTTTTAGGATTTCATCAAAGGTCTTTCCATTTTGCTTCGGGGGACAGTACAAGAAAAACTCAATTGGGCATTTAATCTGTATGACATAAATAAAGATGGCTATATCACTAAAGAGGTAAGGGATGCCTCACCAACCCAGCTATAATTTGGACCATTTTCATTTCTTAATTTTAAAATATTAAACAATTGCAATTATTAATTTTTGAAAATAGTTTTCTTCAGGAAATCCAAAATATTTTATGTAGTGGAAGAAGGATGTGTAATTAAAAATCTGGAATAGAAATAGTTTATGGTGAAGCTCCAAAGTAAATATATAAACACATAAAGATTATACCCTTGTTTCCTGCCGGCATCTTAATAAATACTGTGAATGGAATAAAGACCATGGTTGGAATCAGCTAGAAAGAAAATGTATCCAAGCCATGTTTCAATATTTAGCCTGCAGCCTTTCTTTTCACCATAGCATGCGAACCATAATGAAATGCAATTTTGCAATCATGTAGATCGTGGAATGACCTGATGCCATGGTGGGGTCTCCAAATGCACTTAGAGGCATATTATCCAGGAAACAAGGCTCACAGACCAAATTGAGATACTCATATTACACAGTTTATTAATTTAAAACACAGCAAGAAGTAAAGGGAAAGGGAGAAGTTAACCACACAGGATAGGATGCAAGTGGGGTTGAAAGACCACAATCCCTGAATCCTGGGCATGCTCAGTATGCCTATGTCCCGTCTCTATCTGCCTCAAAACCCTCCCTCAGAATTGAGCTTTGAGCAAGCGGCCCTACAGACAAAAGATGCCCTGGGCCACTTGCCAATGACATGAACTTTCACTACTGTACAGACACAGGTTCAAGTGTGCCTGGCTACAAGTATAGTCTGATAAGCAATAATAATGGGTTTCATTTGCGTTTCTTGAACAGAAGACACCTGGGGCTAGAATAGGTTGACAATGGGTGCCAAATTAAGACTTCATGACTATTAAGTGTTCACATACGTAGAACATATCCTAAATAGTGTTTCTTGTATATTTTTACACCATGAATATTACCCAGGTACCTCAGGAATATTAAGTATCTCTTGTTCTTTAATTCCTTTCTATCTCTGTTTAACACATCTCAAGAATTCTGACTGTGTCTAACAAACTACTTGCTACTTAACTGTACTCAAAACATCTTAAAAGGTTTCATTTGTTTACAAATTACTTTATCATTTATAATAGAATTGAATACTCTTAAAAGTAAATATACGTTAGATCTATATTATCAACCTAATCAAGAGATCTTTCATGTGAAACAAATGTGCAACAATAAATCTAAATGTTTAAGTTAGTTATTATTTTTATTCTCATAAGAATGAAAATGGTAAGGCAAAAATTAGACTGTTTCAGATAAAAAGTTAATTAATAAAATTTCAAGGTGTTTCCCAGGGTCAAAATATTTTGACTAGTCTTCAGGTATGTCTTCAGTTAAAGCCATAGTAGAAAAAATACAACAAAAATCCTACTGATCTTTGAGACTTACCAATTAATTTCACTAATTCTAAGTGGTGTTTTTTCTCAATATATGGTGTGCATTATATTTTATTCTCAACAGATGGAAAATGATAATTAACACATAAGATATATAATGATTCAATTAAATATAGTCTACCTAAAGTCTATAGAAATCCAAACATTAAACCAGCATATTCTTTTCCTATGTTAAATACATGGAAATTTGCATCATTTTGAAACCAAGAGATCAGATTTAATTCTTACATTCTGATTCTTCTGCTGTTGGCTTTTCCTTTGGGACAAGAAACAGTCATCTAACAAAGAATCCAACAAACAGTCAAAAATTTAAAATTGAGTAGGAAACATCCGTCAGAGCTTCTTAGACTGGTTTCTTCATATATATGTGCAGCCTCATGCAAGTGCCTTTTACTTTTCAGGAAATGCTTGACATAATGAAAGCAATATATGACATGATGGGTAAATGTACATATCCTGTCCTCAAAGAAGATGCTCCCAGACAACATGTGGAAACATTTTTTCAGGTAGGAATGAAAACAGAAGTCAAGAGGGAATGAAAGTAGGAGGTAAAGTCCTGATGTTTGCCAAGCAGCTCGATGATTCAAAAGAAAGCAAAGGAAAATAATTTTTACTGAAACAAAACAGCATTTACCATCCTTTTAATAGCTTTAGTTTTGAATTTATAATGCTTATATAACTACACTTATTGAACATTCACTAAATCCTTGATACAACACTAAACATTTCTCATGTTTCACAAGTTTTCTCATGTTTTGTTTTTGTTCAGTTCTTACAAGAATCCTATAAATCCTCATTAATCTCATTTTACAGATGAGAAAAAAAGCTGTGAAAGTTTCAGCAAATTGCCCAAGCTCTGTCATATCTAGAAGGTAGGATTTTGCCTAGGACAGAATGACTCTAAATCTTCACCACACCATATTGAAAAGGGAACAGCCCAAAAGGGTTTGGCCCTACATTTTTATCTCTAAGAAACTACTGGTTCCTGCTGTGAAACAGTTCCTCCACGTGAAATAAGCAGCTAGGCTTTCTTTTTATCAGCTTCAGCTCATTTGGTTCAGGTGCGAGGGTATTAAGGGATAAGTCTAAATACAATTTTTTGTTTTCTTCCTGAATAGAAAATGGACAAAAATAAAGACGGGGTCGTCACCATAGATGAGTTCATTGAAAGCTGCCAAAAAGTAAGTAATTGAAGTATAAGAACTGTCACTTCAGCTATCACATCAACTAAACTGAGGATTACCAGCTAGCTACCATGGACGGCAAAACAGAAAGATCACATGCCTAAGTTTACCACTTCTACAACATGCAACATAAGGCTACCACTCTGAAAACAAGCACCAATTGACATAATCAACACTGAAGAGTGCCTACTGAGTCAGGCTATGTACGAAGCCTTGGGGATACAAAAGTTGCACATGTACTGTGTTTTTGATTCCCAAATTCCTTAGGGAGTATTCGTCATGGAGGATAAAACATATGAAATTTGAATTTCTCTTTGCCCAGACTTAGCATAACTCATATATTACCTATCATTATCGCCATAGAATTAGAATTCCTAGATAGCCAAGTATGCATCACAACAGGCCAAAATTTTATCTGACTTCTTAGGGAAAAATCACTGTTTTAGTGTTGTAGACAAGAAACTTTGGCTGAACTCAGTAACGGTCTTTAGTCACAAAAAATAAACGGTGGAAAATTTTCTCTGAAGAGAACTGCAAGTAGTAGCCTATTATCTAAGAAATCAGTGTTAGCTTACTTAGACTTATTTGACTTGATGTGTGGGTAGAACAATTAAAAATTTTTAAGGCCTGGTACAGTAGCTCACACCTGTAATCCCAGCACTTTGGGACACTGACGCAGTAAGGTAACTTAAGGCCAGGATTTTGAAACCAGCGTAGGCAACATAGCAAGACCCCAGGTCTACAAAAAAAATTTAAATTAGCTGGGCATTGTGGCATGTGCCTGAAGTCTCAGCTACTTGGGAGACTGAGGCAGGAGGATCACTTGAGCCCATTTGAGCCATGATTGTGTCGCTGTAATCTAGAACAAAGGGCAACAGGAAGAGACTCTGTCTCAAAAAAAAAAAAAAAAAAAAAAAAAATCATGAAAACAAATCTATTCTTGCTTAAGATTTTCTATTTTTAAATTGCTGTTCTTACCTTTCTGGACGTTTGCTTATTTCTCAACTTGGACTTCAATGTGGTGGTCTTCGAGAATTAATTTGGTGACATTAAGCTGCTTGATGGTGATGTTGTTACTTGGTTTCTAGCAGTGGAAGCTATTATTGGTTTAGCCACCATTTACCACTACCATAAACAGCTCAGTAAGTGCTATTCACATGCAACTGACAAGTGCTCTGTCCCCTAACTCATTTCAAAGAATATGCTCAACTGAACACAGCCACTGGGCAGTGGTTTCTGCTCCCCAATCCTTTCTCTGTAATTGAGACCATTCATTTTAAAAGGCTCCTTCAGGCCACACAGGTTTAGCCATCACTAGCAAACAGAAAGAGAGGTAATTACTGCAAACATGTTCCCTCTTAATCCGCCTCCTATGCTCCAGCACCCAATCTTCATGAACTGCTGGCTCATCTCACACACACACACACACACACACACACACTCACACTCACTCACTCACTCACTCACTCTTCCTTGTACCTGTATAAAAATCTCTGTGATTTGACCTGTGATCTATGTAGAATGCCAAAATTTTCATTGCTTTGATTTACCTTTGCGCCTCTGTAGTTTCCTTTTTGGCATTATCATTTGAGAAATATCCTCTAAATACCAAGTAAGAGTTAAAGTGGTTTAATGCCTGGTCAGTAGACTCCACAATATATAATATGGGTCCTCCTTCATAGTGATCTATGTGGAAAATAGATACGATGGTATTTACATTTGCAAACACTTAATATTTATTTGAGCTTTTGGCCTAGGTGGATGGTGGGAGGCAATACTTAAGAGCAAATGGTATACTTTCCCTTGAAGATAGGCTGAATTTAATCGCTCTATGTTTCTCCCTTACAGGATGAAAACATAATGCGCTCCATGCAGCTCTTTGAAAATGTGATTTAACTTGTCAAATAGATCCTCAATCCAACAGACAAATGTGAACGATTCTACCACACTTAAAGTTGGAGCTACCACTTTTAGCATAGATTGCTCAGCTTGACACTGAAGCCTATTATGCAAACAAGCTTTGTTTTAATATAAAGCAATCCCCAAAAGATTTGAGTTTCTCAGTTATAAATCTGCATCCTTTACATAATGCCACTGAGTTCATGGGATGTTCTAACTCATTTCATACCCTGTGAATATTCAAAAGTAACAATCTGGCATATAGTTTTATTGATTCCTTAGCCATGGGATTATTGAGGCTTTCACATATCAGTGATTTTAAAATACCAGTGTTTTTTGCTACTCATTTGTATGTACTCAGTCTTAGGATTTTGAATGGTTTTCTAATATACTGACATCTGCATTTAATTTCCAGAAATTAATTTTCATGTTTGAATGCTGTAATTCCATTTATATACCTACTTTAAGTAAACAAGATTATGACAATTAAAACACAGTTCCAGTTTCTATGGCCTTCCTGCCTTCTGTTAGAAATTAATTTATCTGGAATTTTAAAATAACATTTAACAATTAGTTTATTATCAGATAGCATATGCCTAATAAAACTTATTTTAATAAGCAATTAATTTTGCATAATATATTACAGCCAAGGCCTATATAATAATTTTGGATTTGTTCAATCTTATAGGCTGTTTTCTATTGTATCAAGTGGAAGGTCAAGAAGGCATCAAACAAAACAAGGATGTTTCCAGACGTATGCAAAGGGTCAGGATCTCTATCCGCCAGTATATAGTAATGCTTAATAACAAGTACTCCTAACAGCAAGGCCAAATCTGTCCTCTTTCCCCGACTTCCTTACAGCATGTTTATATTACAAGCCATTCAGGGACAAAGAAACCTTGACTACCCCCATTGTCTACTAGGAACCAGCAGTAAGCAAAATTCATTTGAAAGCACCAGTGATTCCATTACACTGAGAATTACTACCAAGATTTAGTAGAAAATAAAAAGTTCTCAACAACTAATCCAGATTACAGTATGATTTAGCTCATCATAAAATTCCAACAATTCAGATTATTTTTAATGATCTTAACCAAAACTATAAAGTTGCCACATTACTAAAGACACACACATCTTCCCTGTTTTGTAGAAATATCACAGAGACCAAGAGGCTACAGAAGGAGGAAATTTGCCACTGTCTTTGCAACAATAATCAGGTATCTATTCTGGTGTAGAGATAGGATGTTGAAAGCTGCCCTGCTATCACCAGTGTAGAAATTAAGAGTAGTACAATACCTGTACACTGAAATTTGCCATCGCGTGTTCGTGTAAACTCAATGTGCACATTTTGTATTTCAAAAAGAAAAAATAAAAGCAAAATAAAATGTTTATAACTCTACTGTCTATGTTATAGGTCTTTTTCAAGAAATTTTGTAATTATTAGATTTAAACAATACTTTTTCTTATAGTATTTTCTAGATCACAGATATCTCTGCATGGTGCTAAATGCAATGAAAACAGGTAAAAACAAGGCCAGCGAGCAGACAGCTGCTGTATCCAGTGATTGGAGGATGTGACAAGAGAGTAGAGACCTGTGGAAAAAGCATGCCAGATAGACTCAGGACAGACAAGTTCTGAGGGAGGAGGAGCATTTCTACATGAAGAATCCTCAGAAATTACTTGTACTCTTTCAAATTACAGTTGTGAGATTATATCTGAAATGAGAATCACAGAGTTCATTCCAGGTGTTTGGGGAATAGAGTGAGGAATGGGCATTCTTCAAAGCTTCCGAGATGCAACACTGCTGCTCCTATATACAAGACCGATCTTTTTCCTTTCCATCCGAGTCTTGTTTTGCTTTGGATGTGGTGTAACTACAGAAAGCCCTATGGCCTCTCCTTTTGCCCATAAGATAAAAGGTCTTATTCTTGTTTTCCATTTTTCTTCCTCTCCTCTACTCCTCTCTTGCAGAGGGAATCGCTTCTATTACATCAAAATTCTGAACTATGTCTAAATGATGTTTTAAAAACTCCTTAAAAATCAATTGCTAAACATAAGTAAGCACAACAAAATCAATGAATGCATATATGAGCTTTCAGATTTTTAATTGCTGAGTATCTTTATGTGAACATCAGTATTTTCTGGCTATGAAATGCAAAAATAACATTTACTTAAATACAGTTAACACCAAAAATTTAGGTAGTTGTAATGAGTTGTAATAAACAACATACTTGTAATAGAATTCACAGTTAGAAAAAAATGTCTTAAACTAGAATACTCTGAAAATTTTCCATGCATTGTACATTATAAAACACATATTTACAAACACTAATTAATAGTATATTCATGGGGCCAGGGATGGTGGCTCACTCCTGTAATCCCGGCACTTTGGAAGTCAATTGCAGAGGACCGCTTTCAGAATTTCAAGACCAGTCTGGATAACAGAGTGAGACCCTGTCTCTACAAGCAAATCTTAAAATTAGCTGGACAGGGTGGCACATGCCTATAGTCCCAGCTAATGAGGAGTCTGAGATGAAAGGATCATGTAAGCACAAAAATTCAAGGCTTGCAGCGCGCTATGATTATGCCACTGTACTCCAGTCTGGGCAACAAAGCAAGACCCCTTCTCTCTTTAAAAAAAATTTTAAAATAGTGTATTCACAAACGTTTGTTCACTATTTTAAATTTCTACAGCCTTGTTAAATATGAAACCCAAGAAATGGCAAAATATCTAGAAAAATAAGTGCACAGCTACAAATCTGATTACAAAAAAAGTATTATAAATAGGCACTAGAAAATACATCTTATCTTACAAACTCAATAATGGTTCTTCACACAAATAATAAAAATACAAAAAATAAACCTCACAAAATTATACTATATAGAACTTATTTTAATAACTTTCCATTAGTAACTGTTTTTTGTTGATGAATAACTTTGATTCAGTGTATATTCATCTTAACCTAGTGAATAATAAATAGTGGCTGTGATTTACAAATGAACAAAATGGAAGAAAGGTTCCATGAGTACCTGGGGTGTGTTTGATATGTCACCAGGAAGAAAAAACAATGTTTGTTGGCTCCCTTCTTCAACAGCATATGGAACAGTATGTCGGAATTTTAGATTTGATGATGCTAAGGCTTCCCTGTCAACAGAAAAATAAAAATTGAGCATCGTTACTCTCATGCACAGTTCCCCTAATAGGTATTGCATTTGCAGGAATATGCCTAGAAAGTATCCAAAACTCAAACAAAAAGGAATGAGAACAAAATGATGACATAAGAAGTGTTTTTACTGAGTTACATAAAATATAGACTGTCTTTTTTAGTATCTAACTAGAGCAGTAGTTAGAAGCCAGACTACCAGTATCTGAATATAGCATCTACTAGTCACTGCTTTGTCAAACCTGGACTAATTACCTCTCTGTGCCTAAGTTCCCTGATCTTTAAAGGGAGATAACAAAATCTCTCTCTGATGACTAGGAAGAGTAAATGAGTTTCATATCTAAAAAGTACTCAAGCAGAGTACCTGCCATGTAATAAGTTCCCACATAATCAACAAAGATCAGTGTTTGTGTTGTGCCTTTCCCAAAATAAAAGTGCATTTCACTTAGAAAAAAATAAAATCAGGCTAAGAATGAACTGATTTTTCAACTGATTTTTCTTAGAAAATCAGTTCTAAGAAAGTAACACTGTGACTGTAACAGATATTTTCGTGTACCAGAGGTTGAATGGTTCCATCATTTATATACACAAGTCCTAAGAAATGAGAAACCACAACGGAGAACACTCATTTTTAAAGACTTATTTCTAACATTTAAAGAAAGAGATACATAAGCTTTTAGAAGAGAAAGAAGAGTATTCATTAATTTCATGAAGGATTACAAAGTAGCAGAAGCTAACACACAACAATTAAGCCAAGAAAGTCTTTGGCATGTAATTGCAATAGAAAATTTTCTATTCTAATTACATCAATCATTATTAAAATATTATGTAGGACATAAGAAGGAAGAAACATGAGGAGTCAGAAGAAAATAAATAATAGCGCTTGTAACTACAAAATCTTTTTTAAAATTCTGTATTAGCAACACTCAAAGCTAGTAAGATGGAGTAACAAAAGAATTTGATATTTCTGGAATCCTAGATTGGTCAACTACACCTCTGTGTTCCTCTTCCAAATCTTAATGCGTTGTTTCTAAACTTTATTTACACGCATACCATCTCCTCCTCCACACCCCCTCCACTCCCACCACGAAATCTAACATGCTGGTCCTGTCCCTTTCCACTTGTCCCATCTCCCACATCGGCTCACAGGATATGGAAAACCACCTAGGGAGGGTTTCCCACTGAAAAGCTGTGGCATCATTATTTAGCCTCTGTTTACTTCCACTCCACAGAAGAAAGGAAAAATATATTTTGCATTCAAATTCTCAGAGGAGCAAACAAGAATTTCCTTGACATGGGATTAACTAGAGGATGGTTCTGCACATCTCCTAAACAAGGTCTCTGAATGCTAATTCTCTGCCTAGGACCCAAACACAACAAAGAAATTCATTATCTTGTAGGCTTAGGGACTTACTTCCTCCTATAAACTTTATTCTAGGCATCCATCATGGAAAGAACATAATGAAACAATTCACTGAAATTGGTCAAATTAGGTAATTTTGCTAAAGCTTTATGTTTGTCATTTTAAAACTGTATATGATCACACAGATTTTCTTATAATTAACTCCTTTAGCAAGTACCTAGAATGAAACTAAGTTCTGCAATGTTAAGACAGTCATATGCAATTCTATCAAGATCTGATTAAAGAAAATTTCCAAAAGCAAGATGGCTTTTATGGAAATATTTCTAAGACTAGATTATCTGAATGCTTCCTTCAAATGCTGAAAATTCAATTAATCAAGTAATCTGACACCATATGGTTATGAAATCCTGCATATTTTTGTACCTTGAAAAGTTAGACTAATCAATTAAACTATTCCAGCACTGTGTGCATGTGTCTGTGTGTGTGTACACCTGTGAGGGTACGCACGCACTTAGAGAGAACAGTGCAATCATTTAGACGTTTGAGGCAGAAAAGACAGCAAATGAAAGAGAAAAAGTATTCTTCCTCAATGAGCTAAGTTAATGCTTTGGTTTTCTGAACTTTTCAATGGTCAGAACTAAACCACTGAAAATAAAGAAAAAAACTGTACCGCTATGCCACATGCAGTGCCATATTAAGCACTGTGGAACTGTACAAGCCCTATGTTTATTCAACCTGAGTCTGAGTTGCAGGACTTGAAAAACAGTGTGACCAAGAGACAGAAACTCTGAGCTCTAAAAAGAAAATAACAGCATCAATTTCATACAGTTACTTGTGGCTGAAATGAGAAGTACATGTTAAGTATATAGTCAATTTAGTAATATGCCTGAAAGTTTAAAAAAAAAAAAAAAAAAAAAAAAAAAGACTCTTAAGGAATAATGTTCTACTTACACTTCCGCCGCATTGCTCTAGCTTCTGTAATGCGCTGGTGATTGGCTCTTTGAATTTCTTGTCCATTAACCTTTTGGAAAGCTTTCAAAGTAAGATTGGGGGGAAATGAAATGACTTTAAAATTAACCATGTTCACCATACACATAAGTAAATCTTCAGGAGCACCCCTTGTTTTAGATTTCAAGGCTTCTTTTAGGAAGTATCTCATTGAAATTTACATATAAGAGGTAGGTACCTCTATGTTTTAAAAAACAATGAATTTACATTCTCATAAGTAAAATCAATCCTATAAAACCTGCTACAGTATGTTATCTGAAGTAAGTTTTCTAAAAAATAGCATTATTTTGCGATTTTGTAATTTGCAAGAGCATTTAGAGGACCATGATGGAAAGCTCTGCCTCTAAAACACACATTTTCCCACAATAAAATGGGAAGAGAGAACAAAGGATGGAGGATTTACATGAGTAATTTAGTAACAGTGAATGCTCTGGGGATGGACAAGGTCCCCTACCGTCTTTTAGTTGCTTTCTTCAGACTGCATTATCCTACTGAATCTGTATACACCCTGTATAGCACAGAGGTTCATAGGCAGATCCATGGACCATTAGCATCAGAATCACTTGAGATGCTGTTTAAAAATGTAGATTCTTGGGTCTCACACCATACTTAATCAGAATCTCAGGGAAAAAGCCCAGATGCTACATTTTAAGCAAGATTTTCAGGTGATCTATTCCCTCTTTAAAGTCCCATACATTTGCGGCTCAGAAAAGGTATAGTTTATTTTGCATAGAGGAAAAAATGAGTTGTATATAGGTTCAATAACTGGTTTTGAAAAACTTTTTCTAGAAGAGTACCCTTTCTTCCAATAAATATCTAATGTAAAAGTCTATAAACCAGATGAAAATGAAGGCGTTGAGGCTGAAGGGTGTGGAAGATGGGGGTGAGGGATGAAGAGGGGTCCAACAGCACCTCACTGACATCCTCAGTGGTGTTTGTCTCATAGTGAGTGGCTAAGAGACCAGCAACTAACCCTCACACAACCTATTTCTAGAGCTCTTTAACACCAGAATCTGAAGGTCAGGGTGGTGTCTAAGCATTCCCAAAGTGCTCACAGCCCAGGAAAGCTAGAGGCCCTTTCAGTCACTCCTTGACTAGGAAAAGCAGAGCTCTGAGGAGGAATGCAAGTGACCTAAGATAAATGCCACCAACCCAGAAAGATTAAAAAACAAAACAAATTTATACAATCGTTAATTTGGCCTTTTCTTTCTGCCACTGGAGGTGGGACTTGGCTATTTAGATAGTTAAGGTTCTGATTCTTGCTTGACTGACTTTGATGAAGGATCTAGTGTGATTCCTTTTCTCTACATCTCACATGCCCTTGACTCCATCCCAATTTTCTCAGCAGATGTCCGTGCTGCTTATTTCTACATCCCCACCCACCTACAAAAAAACCAAAACCAAAACCAAAATTAATTTCCACAAGGGCTGAGAGCATGCCTGTTTCTGCTCTGAATTATATTCTGGATGCTTGGTGTACCTGGAACAAAATAGAAGGGGAGAGTGCAGAGTGCAAGAGATTGTTAAACTACTGAATATTTGAATGAGTAATTTAATCACTAGTGTGAAATTCCTGTAGTTGGTCAGCCACACTTCCTGACCTGAAGCTTGCAAATATCTGCCAAGATTCTCTTTCTTCTGTCCCAAGGCTTCTCATATGTCAAGGCTTGGGAATCTATTCTATGTCTTCTGCCCACCTGAAACCTCGTGGAATTTCATCTACCACTTACAAGTATACCTATCCTGATAGAGTCACCATCAACCCTATTTCTAATAATGTCAACCAGGTGGTTCCTGGGGTGTATTACACTATTTGTGGAATAGGAAGCTAAAAATACAGTTCTAGTATCTCTCATATGGAAGGATCCAAGAAAAAACAGTGGAACCATGATCAAAATCATGCTTCAGCTGTGAAATACAGAAGAATGCAGGCAGGGAGGTCCTACCTAAGACTTCAATCTTTCTATCGGTAGGCGGTATAGAATTTCCCTTGCCTAATGTTTGGCCCTTGCCCCTAGCTCTTGAATGATAACCTCTAAGTTCTTGGAATGTCCCGCCGGACAGAGTATCCTTGTCAACATGGGAGTTTAGGGCGACACCAGGCAGTCTATACAATGTGATTTATGGTGGGAACTTTGGTTCAGAGGGTATTAGCTCAACTTCTAGAGAGGCTGTTGACTAATGTCAACCACACTACATGGTCTTGCCTGCATAATGTCTTGTCTGCATGACAGACAGCAATAAAAACCCTGGACACTAAGGCTCACGTGAGCTTCTCTAGTTGGCAATACTCCATGCACGTTGCCACACACTGCTGCTGGAAGAAGTAAACGCTGCATCAACCACTCCACTGGGAGAAGAAAACTGAAAACTCCATGCCTGGTCTCTCTTGGACCCTGCCCTCTGTGCCTCTTACCTTTGCTGATTTTAATCTTTATTGTTTTGTTGTAAGAAACCATAGAGTGAATAACAGCTTTCCTGAGTTCCCTGAATCCTTCTGGCAAATCATCAAACTTAAGAGTGGTCTTGGGAACCTCGTGAGCTGCATAGTGTCCCAGTATATACTTATAGTAAAGGTTAAAGTTACACATATCAGGAAAAAGTCTCTTCCTGAATGCAATTTACAGATTCACTACAACACCACAATGAAAAAGAAAAAAATTAAAAAAAAAAAAAAAAGTTTGCTAACACGTAATTACACAAGACAGTATATGAGCACTGCTTATAATTTATAGTTAATCAACATGAGCAAAATATCATCTTACTGTTCATTAACTTTTATCCATTCACCTTTTGGCTTTTTTTTTTTTTTTTTTTTTTTTTCTGAATTTTCGTTCTGTCACCCAGGCTGGAGTGCAGTGGTACAATCTTGGCTCACTGCAACCTCCACCTCCCAGGTTCAGGCAATTCCCCTGTGTCAGCCTCCCAAAGCTGGGACTATAGGCGCACACCACCACCCGGCTAATTTTACGTATTTTAGTAGAGATAGGGTTTCACCATGTTGCCCAGGCCGGTCTCAAACTCCTGAGCTCAGGAAATCCACCCAGCTCGGCCTCCCAAAGTGTTAGGATTACAGGCATGAGCCACCATGCCCAGCCGGCTTACTTTTTATTATAACCCTAAACCCTGCTCATGTAGGTGCTTTCCATTGTGGGGAAAAAAAAAAGGTAATACTGTCCATTAGTAAAATGTTTTACAAATGATCTCTACATTTTTTGCTAAAAATGAGATTTTTTTTAAGGTTTTGAGTTATTTTAAAGATTTGAAGCTATTAAAGCATGAAGAGATATGGACGGCGAATGATACAGCCAACCATTATCTAATCTTTGCAGTACTTACGCTTGTAAGCAGATGCTTCAGATGGTCATTTAGAGAAGGACCAACAACAACACTTAGCTGAACTAGAGCATTCAATCCTCTTTCAAACACTTCATCATCCGAATGGACCTGTAAAGTTGGTTGGTTGGGGGGTGTAGCGGGATCAGGGAAGAGAGGAATGATAAAAGGAAATATAGGTTAGAAAAAACAACAAGCAGGTGGAGAAAAGCATAAGATTAAACATTTAAAATCAGAAAAGAGTCAACAAAATCTAGAATTTAAAAAATAATCTTCAATACAGGACATCTAGAAGCAAAAAACAAAGTTTTGATCTGACTGAAGCAGTAACTAAAATTATCTAGCATACAGAAAGACTGATTTGGCATTCATTATTTTCTCTAATTACTTACAACGTCCCTATTTACCTTTAGCACATCCTCTAAAAGTGTCTTCAAGTATGTAGTCATCTGGCCCTGAGTAACAGTAGCCTAATTCTGCAAATATGTCAAAATCACAAGTAAAGGACTAATTTGTATTTAATTTGGAGTAAAAAAGGCATAAAATAGTCTAAATATATTACAGCTTTCTTTTCTATCATATGTTTTGAAATAGAAAGTACAATAAAATAAATGACATACCAGAGCTGCCTTTAGCACAGGAATCAGTCTAGGTAGCAAAGGAACAGCTTTTTCAGGAGCACCTTTGATCAAAAGTAATTCTCTAAAACCCTCCTGTGACACAAAGGTATATGGATGCTTAGTCTCTCTCAGACCCTGCCAAAAACCAAGAAGAAACATGATTTACTACCCATTTCTTTATGCTAATAACAGACAAATTCAGTCTTTACCTGCCTAAACAAAAACCAAAGTTTCATTATTCTATTCCTACTCATGATTATAATTTCAGCAGTTACAATTTCAATTATACTAACTGGGGGACAAAGGGTCACTTGGTATCCCACGGTAGGCTGGTTCCAGGACCCCAGTGGATACCAAAACCCATGGATACTCAACTCAAGTTCTTCATATAAAATAGCAGAGTATCTGGACATACTTCCATATCCTTTAAATAATCTCTAGATTTTTGTAGTGCCTATTACAATGTAACTGTCACAAATAATTTTTATATTACATCATTTTATTTGTATTTTTTATTGTTGCATTATATATTTTTAAATAGATTTGATCTGTGGCTGGTTGAAACCCTAGATGTGGAACCCATGGATAAGTAGGGCCAACTGTATATGAGACAGGAGTAATTTCTACCCACAGAAGGGAAGGAAGGGAAAAGAAAAGGGAAAAAATAAGAGAAAGAAAAAGAAAAGAAACGGGAAACAGGTGAGGCAAGAAAAAATACAGGAAGTAAAGAAGAAAGAGAAAATAAGAAGGAAGGAAAAGCAGGGAATGGAAGGAGGAAAAGAGGTAAATAGAGAAAACACGAAGGGAAACTCACTAGGATAATAAAAACATTTTGTTACGTACAAACACCTTCTGAAAGCAGAGCAAATGAGTTTAAAATATGTTTATAACCACTCCTTTATGAATGCATGACTATGAGATTCCCCTACATTTACAATGATTTTATGACTTAATGAGTTCCTAAAATAAATTTCCTCCATATTTAAATATTTTATATTAACATCTTTAGAAAACAAGTATCATACTATGTGCATTTTAAAGGCATGTTAAGATTTTACATGTCATTTGTAATATGGAAATGCAGTATGAAACCATTAAAAAAAACTGTAATTTCTCACTATGCCTTTCACCCTAAAGGCATTAGGAACAGTTAGTACTCTTATGATATAGCCAAGTACAGCAAGTCAAGATCTTTATCTTTTAAAAAAGATAAAGCAAAACAAACAAAAATCAACAGTAAACTCCTTCAGTTTGACTAATTATGAATATAATCAGCTGCAAAATCATGCTTAGAAATATGAATTTTCAACTAATTTGTCCTTCAGACCTAAATATCTGCTTCTAAATAGTAATCAAGAACTTTTTCTCTTCTTTGAAGCTGTCATACTTTTGAAAACCATCATATCCTGCCAGCCACAAGGGCATCATTTTGGATCACAGGTTCCATCATTTAAGCAGTGTCCTGTATCCAGTTCATTTGAGAGAGAAAAAAAATCTCAGATTAAAGGCTGAAGTGGATTTCAACAGTGGTTTTTCTGTCACTATTCACCCATTAGTAAATAAGGACAGGAGAAAGACAGAAATCTACTCAATACAGAATAAAAAGCATTGACATTTAGACAATAGGTATGTAACAGGCTGACTTTAAACAGAAACTAGAGTCCCTTTAAGGATATCCCAAATTAAAGCGTTTCCTGTGTATTGTGATTAGCTACATTATATTTTCAAAGCTATCACCAATTCCGATTAGCCTAAAAAAAAAAATGGTTCACTACCTGGTATAAAAGGATTAAGGTTTAAAAAAGAACTAAGGAAACATCACTCATTTTTTGTTTATGTGTTTGTCTGAGACAGCATCTCACTCTGCCATGCCTGGCTAATGTGATTTTTTTTTTTTTTCTTTTTTTTTTTAAGAGACAGGGTCTCTCTCCCTATGTTGCTCAAGCTGGTCTCAAACTCCTGGGCTCAAATGATCCTCCCACCTTGGCCTCATAAAGTGCTGGGATTACAAGCATGAGCCATAGCACCCAGCCTAACCTTTAATACCAACTACAAAAATGAATTTCCAAATAGGCTACCTATAAAAATACCCTACTTGTAATATTAAATGATAAATTAAGAAACAAAAATGTACAGTTTTTGCTAGTAACTGATCAGTTACTGATTACTCTTAAGAGAGTAAACATATTTAGAAAATTAAAGGAGGAACTAGAGATTTTGATGTTTCATTTTAATCAAGGAATCTCAATTGGCAAAATTACTTATTTCTATTCTGCTCCCACTTGGTCCACCCCACTGGTTTTCTCGGAAAGGCAAATGATACTAACCGAAAAAGGCATTGCCATAGTAAGTCACACGGTAGTAACTAATCCAAATAAAAATATCAGTGAAAGAACTCAGATGTTTTATTGCTAGTATCTCGAAAACTCTAATCATCTGTTTCTTAATAATGACAACAAAATTAACTTTTAAAAAGGCAGGTAATTAAAAGTTTAAATACAAGACAACTGGTTAATTCATTTCTCTTTTTATTCTAACTCTAGGAATAAAATTCACAGAAGATAGCAATGATTGACTTGAAGCTAAAACTCCAACTTTTTTCCTGACACAAATGTTAAATTATATAAAGGAATCTATCAGAAGCTTTTTAAAAATAGTCTATAAAACCACCTCCATGATATTGTACTAGAAATGTACAAGTAAAGCATAGAGCTGGAGTGTTCTCCAAAAGAACATTTAGGTAGGTGGTATCAATTCCCTAAGAAACACAACATGTCAGCATGATTGGCTGTATACAGAACCACTTACCATTATCTGGCATAGTTTTAAGTTTAAATCCTGATGTTTTCCTGATTTCACCAGTACCAAAAAATCTTTCTCCTCATTATGAGTCCACATATTTTTCTTTTTTTTTGAAATAAGTATAAATATTTCATCCACTTATCTACAAATTCCTAAGGGGGTGCGGTGTTTCAATGCCTATTGTGTGCTTCCTTTTTCAAAGGGACAGAATGAAATTTACTGACAAACTGCAAAGTAACATTTAATGCAACTTTTCAAGTATTTTTCCTGAGAAATATTCAGAAAAGATGGCATATTTACCTCAGCTAAAGTAATAAGAAGTGGATCAAATGAAAGACTTTCAGGAGGACACTCCCACTGTAACCTGTGTTTTACTGAACCATGTACCAATCTAAAATATAAAAGACAGTGAATGCAACAAGAAAAATATAATTATATATTAAGCAGGGATCATGAAACATACAGTATAACCACAGAATTATTTTGTAACATATAGGAATACCATAAACTTTATAAGATAGTACAAGGACATTTTACAAAGCCATGTCAATAATCCTACCAATTACTAATCATTCAGCAAAATTGTTTGGCAACCCAACATGTGTTAAGGCTACAATTTTGGTGCTTAAGCATGTTGCTATCTGTGAATCTTAACACAAATGTTCCAAGTGATGTCTTTCAGTGATATGGAATAGGTAATCTACAGAAATGAAAAATGCAAACAAAAAAATGCAGTAATTGTTAAAAATGTTTACAAGGAACATTGTTTTTCAGATATAGATCATGTAACTCTAACACTAATAATCTGAAGGCAAAACCAAGTTTTATCTCTGTTAAAGAGAAGAAAACTGAGGCCGGGAAGGTAAAATGGCTCATGAGGGGTTACAAAGTGGTGGCCCCTGAATTAGGGTTTCTGCTTCTAACAGTTTTTGAGGCATAACTCACATGCAATAAACTGTATATATTTACAGTAAATAACTTTTAAGTTTTTATGTACAAATACACTCAAGGAACTATCATCACAATTATGATAGTGAACTTAATTCTCAAATGCTTCCTTGAACTCCTTTGTAATGTTCTCAACTTCTTTACTCCTTTAGGCTTATTTTCTTAAGAGCAAGATGTCTCTGTAAAATTGTTTTTACATTTTTGCAACAATAAATTGTTAAGGGATGGGGAGCAGAGAGTTAAGAACCTTAAAATAGGGTTTCAATTCTAAATCTAAATGTGAAATAACAATAAACTGAAGAACATTTCTTGAGCTTATTTTTCACTCCAAATCTGAAAATACCATTACAATCTAGATTTCTTGAATTTTGGAACAAAAATAAATAAATGTTGTGATTCTTTCCACAATCAAAATAAAATTTTCTATAATCTAGAACAGGCTAAAAGTGAATGTACTTTGAAGAAATAAATGCTTTATAGCAATAAATCCTAAAATGATACATTATCCATTAAAAAAAAATAGTTCTGACATCTGTCTAGAAAGGTAGCAAGAATTATAACCGAAAGGAAGCAAAATCAGCCATATGTGCTTAAGAAATATAAACAATTTCATTAAATTGACAATTTCCATTTTACCAACAATAGGATTCTTCAATTTGCAATTTGCCCAAGCCTGTGAATGCTTAAATTGATTATTTTAGAAAAAGGGGTCAAGTAAATTTCTTAAACTAATTGATGGTTTGTCACAGATCTCAATAACTGTCTATTGGAATTAAATGGTTTTCTTCAACAACATCCAGGAATCTATACCAGTCCAAAACAAAGTGTGAATAAGTCACCTTTATTTCAACCTCACTAGTAAATAAAACTTTCAATACATTTAAATTGAATACTGTATTGATGTTACTCAATGATTTTGAGTAATTTGGTCAGTTATAAATCATATTGATTTTACCTGCAAGGAATACCTCCTTTAGAGTAAATAGCTGCAAATGCCGAAGGGGCTCGTGACTGTTCACCAAACTAAAACAAAAAATGAAAATATTACTATCACCTGTACTTCTGAGGTCAGAAGCAAATGGCCATCCTGCTTTTCAAACTGCCAAGCTAGTATCAAAGTGCACCATTTCTACTCAGCAACACAAATGAGAAAAAACGTCAATCCTCTCACTACTAGAATACCACAACTACACTTTGTACATCTCTTTTTACCCCTAACGATTCAGAAGGCTTGAAGGCAGCTGAAACCATATATGTATTAATAGTTCTTGCTACCCTCTTCCCCACTGTGACCTTTCAAGGTGAGGACTAAATGGAGAAGGGGTGTTAAGTACAGGAGAAGTATATTTGTTTTTTGCCACCTGCGCATCTACTTGTCCTCCAGCCAAATATGGATGGTGTGGATAGTCATTTCTCCAAACCAGCTTTAGGCTTCCGTAAAAAACAAAGGATTGAACTGGGCAGGAGGGAGAGAATTGAAAATGGAGAAGATTCTCACAAATATATGCCCGGATGTGTTTTCTTAGCTATATAACTTCACAATCTTTCAGTTTTGCTATATACTACTTTAACAGATTGACTTTATACCTACTCTCAAAGATGATTTAAGAGATGATCAATCACAACAGTTAAACAACCACAGCATAAATAATTTCAATATAATTGATCACAGACTTGAAGAGAATTTAAGAACAAAAAAGCATTTTATCGCATGGTGCTTTTAATATAATCAAATGAAAAATAGTTGTCTAAATTACAAAATATAAATTGACTTGTTTTAAAGACATAACTATAAAATTTCTTTTTCTTTTAATCACACACGACAGTAGTTTTTAAAGGTGCTTAAAGTTTAAAATTAGCTCTTTTCTCCTCTGGAAAACATGAATTTTGAGTAAAAGCACATAGGTGGAAATTTGTTCAAATTAAATAAAAGATTCATATTCAAAACTCAATCCATATTCTGTGTAACAATTCACCACAATAGGAATGTTTCACTCATCTAGCCACAATTTCTGCTGATAAGGAAATACAAGTTTTAAAAATTATTTTCTAATAAGCATAACAGATAAAGTTATTTGAAAAAGTACTACACATATGGGGAAAAAATTAAGACAAATTCATACTATACTGTCAACATATTTTACTTCTACCATCTACAAGAAAATTATCTTTTTGGCTCTTACAAGCAATGAAAATAATCCCTAAATTTTCAAAATCCCCACAGAAACTAAATTTCTGATTGAAACGCTAAACAATCCCTCTCTTTGCATTTCAATTTTGTTCTAGAGATTAATCGTGGTTTCATCTTCCACACCACACAAAATCAGAATTTGTTTCATTAATGGATTACTTTTATCAATTTTAACCAAATTTTACCAAGTCTATTAAAGCGAAAAATGTTATCCCATTCCATTTTTAACAATATCAGACAATATTTCAACTCTGCCTTAATGTTATATACCATTCTACCCTGAATTAGCATTTGAAAAACATTTTTAACTCAAATATTTAAAATGTATACACTTTAATGTACAAAAATCACAATAGTGAATTCACAAAAAATGAACACACTTGTTTATCAACATAAGTTGAAAAATCTAAACATTACCAGCCCAAAGGTAAACACTATTTTGACTTCCAACTCATTTGTTTTACAGCGGTAGGCTTTACATATCTTAGACATGCTTTTCTCAGGTCAAACTATTTAATTATTATTTCCCAAAACCTTCCTCAATTTTTACTAAACCTTAGGACTAAGGTCACTAAATGTTAATTCAAAGAGTTCTTCTTTAAAGACAGGAAGAATATTGAAGTGTCACCATAAACTCCCTCAACTAAACATAAGCAAAGTAGGAGCAACAAGATTATCAGGGCCTTCTTCAGGTATTCAATTTCCTTGACACTGTAGATTACAAAAAGAAGCAAAGGAACACAGCTGCTCAAACTATTTTTCACTTTTCTTTTGTCAAGTCAGACACTCTCTGTCTTGGAGAGCTCACTATACCCTTGCTTCCTTAAGTACCTGCCATACTCTACCTGCCATTAAAGTCAGTCAGGAGCTTCAGCCACTCTCACAATCCCCTTCAAAGGCTGAAATTACTAACATCTTACCTTACCAAAGTTGGGCCTAGAGCAAATAACACCTGGTGTTGCACAGGTGTGTTCACTGCTGAATATTTATTTTTATTGCATAAATCCCATGTTTATTGAATCTCGTTAAATTGTTATGAGAGAGCAAAGGAGGCTAGTACTACAACGAGGACTTCTGGCAGAGCTAATTTACACAATACAGAGGAATGGTCAGAGACCTTTATGCAATTACGGAAGCATGAAAGGCATTCTGTGGCAACTGAATACAAGTTTATTCATTGATATTGGAAAACAAAACAGCATAGCAAATAAAATCTAAAGCTAAAATGCAGTTTTTTATGCCCTACAATGCGATAACCCAAACAGGTTAACTTCTGTGTCTTACCTCCATACTCACTGCCACCTGTGACTGATTATCTCCGCTCATCATAACAAACACATGCCCTTCTCTCATCATTAGCTCAAAACTAGCACAGGGACAAAACGCAGGACAGCATCCAGAATTGTTCAATGCTGTGCGAAATGCCATCAAAAAATCTAGTGAGTTACGAATCATTTTGGACCTACCGGGTTAATTGTTTTAGGGTTCAGTTTATCACTTGGTCGAGGATGAAGTTTTCCTGCAGACTCTGGAGAACTGGTTGACAATGAGGATTTGCTTCGTTGAACTGCATTCCTGTGTTTTATTTGTGTGCCTGATGATGTCCTTTGATCATCGTTACCTGGACAAAACAACATCAATAAGAAGCAGGTAAAAGCAATAAAGTTCACCCTGCCTCCACCTGTAACCCAGAATAGTGTCATAAACAAACTTGGCCTCTTAAAAAGCAAAGCTGTACCTGTTACTCTGTTTTTCAACTGTGTACCTCCAGAGCACTCTGATTTCTGCATTGTTTCCCTTTCACTCCTGCAGTAAAAAAAAAAAAAAAAAAAAAAAAGTTGACTTCAAACTTTGTTTGGAGGGGTATTATCAATACGAAGACAGAAAACATAAAAGAGGATACAATACAGTAAAAGTTATGGAGCAAAATACCAGAAAGACTAATGAGAAAACATGAAATTATGTCAACTTCAAAACAGCAAAATAATCATCTCCAAGAAAATGATGTACAAAAATAAACTTTTCTTCCATTCAAATTGTCAAAATAAACTGTCAGAAACTCACTTGCAATCCTCTGGCCACATTAGAAAACAGACTAGATTTCTGAAAATTGAGCTTCTACAGTTTATGAGTAAATAGGATAATTTTTATATACAATATACTAATGTAATTTTCAGCAACAAATACACATACAGTAACGCAAACACACCTACATCCCCTTTCAAAATCCTGCATTAGAAAGGATTCCAAAACAATTGCTTTTTTACTTCTTAAAAATGTTTATCCTTTACCTTAAGGACAAACTACAGTTGGTTCTCCATATATGCGGCTTCCACATCTACAGATTCACCCAACCACGGATACCGAGAACAGACTGGGGGACTTCAGCATGGGTACATATTTGGGTATCTGAAAGAGGCTGGGGGGAGAGAGGGAGTTCTGGAACCAATCCTCCACGGACACGAAGGAAAAACTGCAAGTGTGGTCAATTTTTAAAAATACTATTCACCTAGGAACACATCACTGACAAACCTGGAGCATGAGTTGTTAAAGAAAATGCAATCAATCTTATCCTCAGTAACACTTTTAACTGGTTTTTCATAAGGTCATCGCTCATTCTTTTACAAAACAAGATAAAGATTCTAATTATAGATATTAGAATCCATAAATCCACTTAACCTGGAACACTTAAACTATGACACAATACCAGAAAGCAAACAAACCACCCTATGAAATCCTCACATTCCCCTTAAAGCTTCCTTGGCTGCTACAGGTCATCTATCTACAACGGACTGCTGGAATCCGTGTCAATGGTAGGAAAGTCTACTTTCTATCATTGTTTGGACAGCTGATACAGCCTATATCTTTCCCTGTATGTATTTTATTTCTCCCGCACTCAGCTTTTGGATCATGAACTAAATTGCTTGTTAAATTCTCAGTCAGCAGAGGCCATGTTTTTTCTGGCTTTCTAATCCAGGTATAGAAAGCTCCAAAAGTGTAGTAAGAGCCCCACTAAAGACACCCTGTTCCATTTGTAAAGCTCTGTAAAAGTCTAAAAGGCAGACCCTAAGCCTAATATTCATTATTCCAATCCCTTTTTTTTTTTTAAATCATAAAGTAAATGCAAAGGGCAAGTATTAGGGGGTCGTAAAATCTGCTTAGGGGGTCTTAGAATCCGCTTTCCATCTTCCCAGCCACCCCTCCTACACTCACTTCTAGATACTTAAAGCCGAGTCCAGGGCCAGGACGCTATCAAAGTTAGCAAAAGAGGAAAACACAGAAAAACAAAAAATAAAGAAAAAAGCGAGATTTTTTTTAAAGGGGCCATGGGAGAAGGAGTTTACCAGTGTCAATTAAGGTTAACGAAGGCTACTCTCGATTGAATCCCCCAGAAAAGGAGGGGCACACTCCAAGCGCTCAGGTTCTCAAGAATCCTTAGCAACAGGGTCCGGCGGCCCTAGCAACAGTTCAGGAAGCAAGAGAGCGCGGACGGGACACCAGTACCCGCGGTTCATGGCTCTGGGGACCCGTTCCTACCGCGCCTCTCTCCCGCCGCGATCCACACACCACCTGCCCCTCACCGGTGAGGCTTATGGCAGGCGCTTGGTTTCCCAACAGCCGCGGCTCCAGCCACCGGCCGCCCCGGGATATGTGAAATGAGGACCCACGAGGCCCGCCCCAGAATCTGGTCGCGCCACGAAATGACGTCAGACGCACGCTGCGTCCTCTAAACCAATAGTAAGAGGGCGTGGAGGCGCCCCGGAAGAGGGTTGCCCAGGCAACCAGGCGCCAAGAGTTCAGAGGGCAGCTGTCTTTCGCGACAAAGGGGCACCTGGTGGAGGATGTTTTTAGAGTAAGAGTTGCAGAGAGCAGAGGAAAGGTAACAGGTTCCCAATCGCCCACGCCCTAACCTCTCTCCAGTCTATGAGCTTAACTCTTAGGCCTTTCCCGCACGCTTAATCCTCACTGTTCCTCAATTATCTTGCCCTAGATCCCTGGAAAGCTGAAGACTGTGAACTAACTCCCCACGAGTCTTAAGGAGTGAGAGCCAAAGCCATCTGCATGCCCAGCTGTGGGATTTCCTTGTAGTTTGCTGTCCTATCTAGCTAACTCATAACCCTAGCTGTGGAAATTCGTTAACAATAGTGTTTTACTAGTCTTATATGCCATTTCATTCTTCACAGTATATCTGCATTTTAATAGCAAAAATCACGATTTGTGCATATTATTTTTAATAGTAAAAATAATAGTAAAAAGCACGATTTTATGCTCCACATTATGACAAAACTGATGCTGCAGAAAAATGCATATCCCCTTGCATTGCATTCCACTAGCAACAATTTGGTTTGTCATAGTTAAGTCCAAGCCCTTTGAACCTGTCCACAGCACTCTTCTTTAGCATCCTCTACTGTTGCCAACCCAAAGCCTTAACTTTTTGCTTGTGTAACACTAAATTGGCATTGTCTGAGCACTCTAGGCTCTGTAATCCTGTGCTCCTGTAGCTCCATCCTTGCCACCTGACTACCACCCCAGAAGCATCTTCATTAGACTGTGAGTTTCTTCCGGATAAGGACTTTATCTTTCCCCTTTTTATTTCTCCGGCTTCAAGCATAATGTAGCGGGTATACAGGAAGTTCCCTGTGAATGAATATAATGAATGAATAAATGCTGTCTATATCTAATTTCTCTAATGTTCTGTGAACCTTGCCTACAAATCTATCTTAATTTTAAAATTCATTATAATGTATTTACCTATCTTTCTTACTAGACCGAAATTGTCTTCGTTGCTTTTCTATCCCCAATTTCTAGCACAATTCATGTTTAACTAATGTTTTAAACAAGAAAAAGGAAATGTAAAAAAGTCTTACATCTTTTATCTTTGGCTACTTTTACTTAATAATCTCTCCTTTCCAGCCTCCTCAAGACCTATTATATTTTCCTTACCCCTAGCATCTTCAGTGTCAGACTCAGTAGCTCCCAGTTCACGACCTTTTAACCCCTCCTCCTTGGACTGTAAGAATAATTTGCATTCAGTATCGCAGAGGAATGACATGCATATATGTTCTGGAGTTAAGCTGTCTGAAACTCACCTCCACCCCTTCTCAGCTATGAGTCCTTGTGCATGACAACCCCTACAAGCCTCAGTTTCCTCCTCATCATTGGGTTCTTGTGAGACTTAAATTTATTTGAGCACAGTTAAATACCTGACACAAAAGAAGTACTCAATAAGTATTAGCTAGTCCAATTATTCAGGTGAAAGCAAATTAAGACTGACATGGAGGACATCATTACTGGCAAGTCTCATGCTATGTGTTGGTGTATGAACCATGGACAATGATATGGATTTTTCAGATCTTTATAATATCCACAATTAGTATAAGCTTCTCCTAATCATAATTAAAACAGCCTCTTCTAAACTTTCTGTCATCATTTTGGAAAATGAACAAAAAACATGTTTCTTGGCATTACAACTCTATCAGGATATCATACAATAAGTGGAGGGTGCTTTCTTGAATACACTAGTTTGAGAAGCCTCTGAGGCATCCGGGGGAGCTAACTAGCATGCAGTTGGATATGCTCATCTAGAGGGCAGGAAAGAGACCTGGGAATAGCTATGAATTTTAGAGCCATCAGCATATGTAGACACTGGGCTGGGCCACAGGAGTAATGCCTTCTGGTAAAAGCTCACAGTGTGTAAGAAATAGAGCACTGATTATAGACTTTCATCTTCTATTAAAATTTTAAGGTTTAATTTTTTATTTAAGAGAGAATGGGATGAGGGAAAGAAGGTGACCTATTTGTCTCTCAATATGGTAAATGATTCTGAAAAGACAGAATATGCAATATATTTTCCGTTTGCTCTCTTATAGGTATACTCTTACCTTTGTCCTATTATTTGCTGTGGGATGCTGATCGTTATGAACTATATCAACAGGGCTCCAATGCCCTCTGGTTTCTGTTTGGGTTTGGTTACTGAAGAACACTAATAGGAGATTAGAGAATTAGAGGAGAGTGAAGTCAGAGTATTCATTCTCCTGCTCCAATCCTTAGTGGCTTCCCTAAAGTTGGTCATACGCATGAGCGAAGGTTACATCTTTCTGCTATGGTCTGATTGTTTTTGTTCCTCCAAAATTCGTAGATTAAAATTCTAACTCCCAAGGTGATGGTATTTGGAGACGAGGCTTTTGGGTAGTGATGAAGTCACAGGGTTGGAGCACTCATGAATGGAATTAGTCTCCCAATAATAGAGGCTGAGCGAGAACCCTCCTTCCACTATCTGAGGACGCAGTGAGACAATTCCACCTTTGAACCAGAAAGTAGGCCCTTACAAGACACTGAATGTGTTGGCACTTTGATGAGGACTTCTCAGCCTCCAGAACTGTGAGAAATAAATTTCTGTTGTTTATAAGCCACCCAATCTATGATATTTCGATATTTCAGGATAGCAGCCAAATAGACTAAGAAACTTTCTAAATGGCAAACTTCAGTTCTAGGCACAAAATCTCAGAGGCTACTATCTCTAGATCACTGTACTCTCTTGTAGTTCCCTGTACCTTTATAAATAAAATTTATTCAAATTGTCCTATTTTTAATTTGTTACTCCATATTATACAACGTTATGAATTAGGTAAAAATCTAACCAAAGTAAACCACTGAAGATACTTTTTTTCTCATTGTCCTGGTTCTCATTGTCTTGTGAAAAAAATTATTTATTCATTATTTTATATTTATTTACATTTAAGTCACCAAACATTTTTAAGAAAATATTGGCAGTATGAATGGGCTTGTCTTAATTTTCTTGAGGAAAATCTCTTCCTTTTTGTACAAATTACAGACAGAGTAATCATTCCCAATGATTATTCATTCCCAAGTCCCATCGTCAAGAAATGAGATACAAGAAATTTGTATAATTTCCAGTAAACGTTGTCAAGAAATGTTAGACACCATCATTATAAAGTCTTGGAGTGTCCACTTGTGCATGGAACAAATTAAGCAATAATAATAGCTCCTCAGGTGAAAGCAAATGAAATCAAAGTGAGTGAGCATATGGGGTAGCATTGTCCAATAGAAAAATGATGCAAGTCACATATAAAATTTTAAATTGCCTAGTAGGCACATTTTTTAAAGGTGAAAAGAATCATGTGAAAGTAATTTTAGTAGTATATTTTTATTTAACCCAATATGTCCAAAATATCACCTCAACTTGCAATAAACACTATTAATGCGATATTTTACATTCTTGTTATTTGTGCTAAGTCTTCTGAAGCTGGTGCGTATTTTACATGTGTAGCACATTTCAATTCATACTAGCCACATTTCGAATATTCAATAACCACAGATAGCTACTGGCTACCATATTGGAGGGTACAGGGAGCTGTGGCCACTGAGAGTTGGGCAAACATAGAATGAAGTAAATAAATGTGCCAGATAGCTACAGAGTACATATTGTTTGTAGACCACAGTATTAGATGTTTGAAGATCGATCCAAAAGTAAAGGATATGAATTGGATATGAATCTCAGACTACAGTGCAAAAAACAACTTCCTTTCTGATTCATAGTTGTTTTCAATTTCTTTTACAAATTTTTTTTCTTTCCATGAAAGTAGCTTACCCTTCCTCTCCTTGAAATTGTGTTGAGAGGATGAGGCTTGGAGGAATGTGTCATCTGGTCCTCTGTTGTCGTCTGCTGGGATGTACATACTTTGGTCTTTCTGGTCCTCAGTCATTTATCCTTCGTTCAGGTAAATTGCTCATGTTTGTTTTTCATTCCACGTTCTCATTGAGCGCTAAGTCTAGTTTCCTCTTACCTAGCCAGAAAGTAGTCTCTTCCTCCAATCTGAAGCCAGCTGTTAGTTTTTACCTTATAGAAACCATGGGAACCTGTGAGGTCGCCTTAGAGTCTTTTGTCTAGACACACTACAAGACCATTTTTTCTCATCCTGTACTCTAGTTTCAGGGTTATCTAGGCCCTTATTAGTTCTGGGGCATTGCCCTGGGAGGAGGTTGGAGGATGGGAAGGACAGGGCATACTGTCTCTTTGCTCTCAGATCTAGACTTTGAATCTGACTGATGACATATTCTTCTAGCCTTTCCAAATAATGTCCGGTCTTGGCCTTAACTTTTGAAAGTCCAAAGTCAAGACTTCAACTCTTAGTGTCAGAACTCTTATGATGACAACTCCTCCCTGAGGCAGTAAACATAAAATAGTTTAGCTACAGTTTGCATGGAAAAAGTGTTGTGGTGTAGCAGGAAATGTTACTTTTACAGAAATAATTTATGACATTAGTTTATAATCTATTTTAGAATGATTTATAGAATTGTTGCCAACTTTATTGAGGTATAATTGATAAATTAAAAAATGTAAATATTTAAGGTGTACAACATGATGTTTTGATATACATACATTGAAAAGTGATGACTGCAATCATGTGAACTAATATACCCACACATATATTCATTACATGGATCTATTAATAGTAATTATATGAGGTTACCATTTTGTTAATGTATACTTATACTTAGTAGCAATATTATGGATTACTTTTAAATTATTATGGAAACCATAATATCAAAATGAAAGAGAATGTCATTATCTATTAAGGTATAAGAAAACAATTTGAAAGAGATTAAGTCAAAGATTGCACTGAGAGTAATTACAATAATTAGTATAATATTCACAAAATGGTAACCTCACATAGTTACTA